CCCACCACTCATCCCACTCACTCACCCAACCACCCACCACCACTCAACCACTCAAACCACTCAACCACCAACCACTCAACCACTCACCACCCTCCACCCACTCACTACTCACCCCACTCAACCACCCACTCAACCACCTAATCACCACCACTCACCCACTCAACCACCCACTCAACCACCCACTCAACCCACTCAACCACTCACCCACCCACCACTCAACACCTAATCACCCACTCACCCACTCAACCACCCACTCAACCACCCACTCACCCACTCACCCACCCACTCAACCACCCACTCAACCACTCACTCACCCACTCACTCAACCACCCACCCACTCACTCACTCACCTCGCTCCTTCACTGGTCGCTTCGCTCCCTGCCTCCCTCCTCCTTCCATCACCTCCTCCGTCGGCGTCCTTCACCCAAATCCTCATTTTCCGCCTTCCCCCTCCACCCCTAAAATCCCCTTACCTCAACCCATCTTCATCCTTCATCGCCCTCTTTCGCCCCTTCACCTCCCTCACCCTGTCCACCCACCTCCGTCGCTGCCTCCTCACCCTAATTTGAGCTTTCCCCAAATTTCCCCAAATCGCCCTTAAAATGTCCTTAATAATCCTTCAACGTTTCTCAACTTCTTCACTTTCCTCTTATTAGCCCTCTGGTCGCTCTCGCTCCTCTACCTGCTGCACATCACCGTCATCCGCCTCGACGTCCTGAGGATACGCTCCCACTTAAAATCACCTTCAAGCCACCGCATCGCCGCACAGTCCCTCCTCGCCGCCGCACGCGTCAAGGCACTCGCCAACGTCAAGTACTTCTCACCATAATCGTGCCTTCACGTGTGATCTGTGTATCACTCACTCATTCACCCACTCAACCACTCACTCACCCACTCAACCACCCACCCACTCAACCACATACTCACACACCCACTCACACACTCAACCACCCACATACTCACACACTCACCCACTCACTCAACTACTCACCCACTCAACCAACCACCCACTCACTCAACCACTCACCCACTCAACCACTCACCCACTCACCCACTCACTCACCCACCTACTCACTCAACCACCCACTCACCCAACCACCTACTCACTCAACCACCCACTCACCTTCTTTCACTGGTCGCTTCGCTCCCTGCCTCACTCCTTCCATCACCTCCTCCGTCGGCGTCCCTCACCCAAATCCTCATTTTCCACTTTTCCCCTCCACCTCCGAAATCGCCTCCTCTCCACCCATCTTCCTCCCTCATCGCCCTCTTTCGCCCCTTCACCTCCCTCACCCTGTCCACTCACCTCCCTCACCCCCTCGCTGCCTCCTTGACCTAAAATCGCCTTTCTCCAAACTCCCCCAAATCGCCCTTAAAATGTGCCTAAAATATTCCTTCAACAACATTATTAAATAACCTTTGTGGAGGCCTCGAAAAATTTCTCGGCCACAGTAATGGTAATTACACCGGAGAGGGAATCGTGTACTCTGACCTTGACAGGCTGTGCGACGGGGTGATGTCTTTCCTTCATGGTGTTCTCAGTGGAGTGAGGGATGATGATAACGTTACAACTTATGATAAAAATAATGTTCCTAATATTACTAAAGTTATTACCACTTTACATGATAATGTAGGTAAAGGCCGTCAGGCCTTCGAGGAGGCCGTGCGTCAGGTAAGTGAGTGGTTGAATAGACATGCGGTGCAGGTGGACCAGAAAACAAGCGAAGTGAAGAGTAAATTAGGTGAGTTGATTACTAAATTATCATCTCCTTCAGGTAAATACTACAATCAAGTCTACGACAAGACCGACTTAAATGGGCAGCTGCACGAGTGGAGAGGGACGCTCGGCAATATTTTAGTAGACCTCCGTAAAATTGAGACAGACAATATTAATTTGTTAGATAGCGCACTTAAGTCACGCATAATGCATGAGACTAAGCCGATACAGAAGTCGGTTGAGGTGCTGCTAAACTCTGCCTCGGATCCGGGGTTAGAGGGGCACGTCAAGTATGTAGACAATACGCTGGTGGAAAGGAATCAAAAGTTAGTTGACGCGGTGAACGAGGAGATTGAAAAGCTTCGAGAAATGTTAGATAGCCAGCTTTTGAAAATTTGGGATGGTGTAGAGTCGTTGAGAAACACTAAGAGCGGTTACTTTGAAGGTATAAAAAAAACGCTGCAGGCAATGCAGAGTTTTGTGGACAATGAATTTGGGGATAACTACAACAGTTTCAAACTTACGATTGTTAACTATTTTAATGACATCAAGGCTGAAGTTTACAGAGCTCATGCAAGGTTAGCCGCAAAAAAGGATGAGCTTACAGAGTTGGTAGGCAGTGCACAGCGGAGTGTTGTGGCGCTTAAGGATAAGGTTGTAGATGCGGGCGGAACAACAGGTGAAATACATACGAATTGGCCGCAACTTAAGAAGACGATTACGGGGCTTGTTGCAGACTTGGCAGGAGATGCAGAACGTACGAAGCGTGGAAATCTAAAGAAAATTATTGACGAGGTCAAGAAATATGCAGAGAAATTTAAACATGAGGGTAGTGAATATACTGGAATGAGAGGTATCCTGCGGGGTTGGATACAGAAGATTTTGCAGAGCAAACCGGTTACAGGTTCCCTGGCCACCGCCGTTGCAATTATCAACGGCGATCCCAATAAACGTACTCCATTCATGTTTCCGATGGATAGCGTTGACAAGGTTGCAAAACAAATTGCTGCTGCACTTAGCACAGAAATTACGACAGCGCAAAGTTCGATTGGTGACGTGCAATCTGGTGTTAATAGCATGGAGCAAAACGTGAATCTTATAAACACTGTCTGCAATAATTTTGCCAAACAGCTTGAGCAGAAAATCGAATCTAGCAACTTCGATAATATTGTGAATGCTATTAAGAATGATGTTAAAACTAGTCGGATTAATAACAACGAATCACATCTCCGGGGCCCTGCTCGTCTAATTCTTTACCAACTCCTTGGTATAGCAAAGCAAGTTGGCGCAGAAGTACACCAATTTACTGTGTCGGAGTCTGAACTTAACAACAATGTGAGGCTTGCAATAGGAAAAGTCGAAGAGATCGGCGAGCAAGTAGACGATAAGAGCAGTTCAGGCAAGTACACCCAGGGTCTCGGCAATAAAATTGATGAAGCTTTATCGGTTGTACAACTAAAAGTTGGGGAGCTTGATGGATTGTTAGGCGACAAGCTAAACGCTGCAGGGTCAATTCAGGATAAGCTAGGAGAGATGCAGACCGAAGTAATCACAGAACTTGATAGACTCCAAAAAGACGATGCAAGCACAGGCGGCAGCGTCGAAATGTATAAAGCTAAAGCTACACGGGAAATGGAGACGTTGAGAAATAAACTCTCTTATAGCATCGATCTCACCAGGAGAGAAGTAGCCGCTGCCGATAAAGCCTTAGACGTCTCCATCAGTGCCCTCCAAACCACAGTAGAAAGCGCCGCAAAAGAAGCACAAAATGCTCGCGAAAACCTCCGAGATACCCTTCTCCAAAATATAGAAACAGCCTTCCTCCTACTCACCAACCAAATGCGTGCCATGTTTTGTGCGCAACACCAAGCTGATCTAACCGCCCTCGCAACATTAGCGGAAACGCAAAAATCTTCAATTGAAAAAATTATTGCGACCGACAGAATCACCGGCCTGAAAGGCCTCTTGCAAAAATTACGCGCCAACTATATTCCTCACGTTGATAAGATTGACCAGAACTCCAAGTTTAATTTTGCCGCTTCATCAGTACACGCCGCATTTATTGACTTTTCTCGTCAGTTGAATAAACAATCCGACATCACCGACCATGCTCCCCAAATCAACGCACTCCACGCCTCCCTGGATGACGTCTTCGACAAACTGCTCCACCACCAGCACTTCCACCACGCCGTCTCCACGGCGCGCGAAGCCTTCGAGGCTTCGCTCCAAGCATTCAAAGCCGACACCTTCCCCGACGCCCCCAAAAAAGTGCTGCAGCCCCTGAAGCAGGGCCTTGAGAAATTCGCGCAGGAGCTAGAAAAGCAGTACGTCAGCAGGTACTCGGGGATGGCGGAGCGCTTTGAGTGGACACAAAGCGTTGGTGATCCCCAAACTCAAAAACAAGAGCCCACGGAGGACGCCAAAAAATGCGCCAAGGTTTTCATGACCTGCGTGCAAACGTTGTTGGACAACCTCAGTGAGCTCAAGGACAATTGCACCAATGGAGGCAGTTGGGGCAAGAAACAAATTAACCGCACTACCCATCTGGGAAATTTCCTGCAGTCGGTTGGTTACGGCGTCGCCACCAGCGACAAAAATCAGAACGGCGAACTGCGCAATTACTCCAAGATGAGGGGTCTCCAAATTCATGAGAAACTGGCTGCCATCATATGCATAGATTCATCCACGCATGTTCCACAGTGCAAGCCAAAAGGTAAAGATAGTAACTTTGACATAATAGATTTTATTGAATGTATTATGCAACATGTTCATGAATACTACCGTGTATGTCACCACTCCACATTGTCCTCCACCAAGCATCCGACCACCGTCAACCAGATGCTCCGGTGGCTGAGTGGCCTCACCTATAATCCTATATATGACGCATTAACACTCGACGGCTTCGAAGAGCTGTTAAAGCAATATCAGGAGAAAGACTCCGACACACCTGTAGCAGCCGATAAGGCAGAAGGTGAGGAGGGTCCCACCTTTGCCGTCCTCAATGACCTGTCGTTGGAAGCCTACCCACATAAGATCACAGTTGACAAACTAACAGACAATCTCCTAGAAGTATGTCAGTATTCCCACGGCGTGCTCGTCGCCATACTTGGCAACGGTCACGAGGATGGTACTTATGCTTGCGACTACAACGCAAACTCTGACAAATTAATGTACCCCTCTATACCCGGCGCCTGCATTCAGATGTTCACCGAGGTACTGTGCAGAGTGCATCACCAGTTGTACTTCCTGTTTAATCAGTGTTACTACACCACTCAATATGGCGGCTGGCGTGACTGCTGGTACGGCAAGGGAGTCGCCGGGTCAGGCTGGCAGTGCAATGAGATGCAATGCCCTGGTCAAGCGGGTGACCAAAAGGCTGACCAAATGCACAACCAAACATGTAGTCAAAAGTGTAACCAAACTGTTGAGTGCGGTCTGAAATCACCGTTGCAGTCTTTCCTAGAAGATGGACTACAAGGGTTCCTTCCGCATACCCTTACCAAGCTTGGATGCGGAGCGGAATGCTCTGTTGGTAAACATCGAGGCCTCCCTTGTAAAACGCCTATGGGTTTTAACAATATCGGCACATTGGCGTCACGCAGTAGAACCGGCGAGCACATCAAAAATGTGCTCCACGAATTTTGTGGCAAATCGTATAAGCCGCTCAGCCAAATGTGTAACTACCTAGTATGTCTATTACCCAGCGCGCCGACAACGCTTGGCGACATGTTTGGGTTCTATTATAATTTGCTTAAAGACCCGAGTAAGAGCAAAGAACATAGAATAGATGCCTTCAACAAGGCAGTAACAAGTGCCAACTTTGAGGAGCCGACAACTCTGGACATCACTCCGCTATTCGGCAACAGCAATCATGTTATTCCGAAGCCCCAGGAGCAGAAAAATAGTCATGTCACCGGTGATCTCTATTCTCTGGTGGAGTGCAAGAAGAATTCGAAGTCCACCGTTGGACATCCCTGTGGTCCGTATCTCAGACCACTTTGCCGAGACGTATGTGTAACGTTCTCAGTGAAACACGCAGCTAAATATCTCTCATGGGTTGTGTACACTACTGAAACGTTTCACTCACTACTAAAGAAATTGTACGAAGAGTGCAATGGTAATTGCGGCGATGAGCAACCTAAGTGCCGTGTCACCAAATGCAGTAAAGAGTGCGGCACAATGAAGGCGCCGCAGTCTCCAGAATCCAAGCACAATGAGTCATGTGGTTCCATTGTGAAGTGTCAATATACGCTTCCGACCCTGTTCAAATATGGGTTTGTACATGAGAACATTGAGATCCTTTCTGACAACTCAAGTAAGCGGACGTGCAAGGATCTATGTACGGCATTACATAATGTCATTAACGAGAAAGAAAATGTAAAAGCTGCGCTAGCAGAATTAATATTCAGGACAATTCCTGATTACCTATGCAAAATCAGATGGCCATTTATGACAACATTATTAGCCCTCTGGTCGCTCTCGCTCCTGTACTTGCTGCACATCGCCGTCGTCCGCCTCGACGTCCTGAGGATACGCTCACACCTGAGATCACCCTCAAGTCACCGCATCGCCGCGCAGTCGCTGCTCGCCGCCGCACGCGTCAAGGCACTCGCCAACGTCAAGTACTTCTCACCATAATCGTGCCTTCACGTGTGATCTGTGTATCACCCACCCACTCACCCACTCACCCACTCAACCACCCACTCAACCACTCAACTACTCACCCACTCACTCACTCACCTAATCACCCACTCAACCACTCAACCACCCACTCACCTAATCACTCACTCAACCACCCACTCACCCACACACTCACTCACCTAATCACCCACACACTCACATACTCACCACCTAATCATCCACCCACTCACTCACCCACCTACTCACTCAACCACCCACTCACCTTCTTTCACTGGTCGCTTCGCTCCCTGCCTTCACCCCCTCCATCACCTCCTCCGTCGGCGTCCTTCACCCAAAATCCTCGTTTTCCACCTTCCCCCTCCACCCCCTAAATCGCCTTATCCCATCCCATCTTCCTCCTCCGTCGCCCTCTTTCGCCCCTTCACCTCCCTCGCCCTGTCCACCCACCTCCCTCACTCCCTCGCTGCCTCCTTGACCTAAAATCGCCTTTTCCCAAATTCCCCCAAATCGCCCTGAAAATGTTCCATTTCATCCCCTTTTACTCCTTTTAACTCTCCCTTAATCCACCTTTAATCCAACTACAATGGCCATTACAATGAAGTTCATTACCTTACTGAGGATGCCAGACAAAGCGCGTTGAATGATATTCATGCCCGCCGCATCTCTCTTGGCACGCTTGCTGGACAGCTTGGTGGATTTATTGGCGGTGGAGAGGAAGTTAAAAAAGCAATTTTGAAGGGTTTGCACAGTAATGTAACTCAGCTTGTTGGGCTTTTAAATGCATCTTGCGGCGATTCTTACAATTGTAAGCATGATGTTAAAGAAATAAATGAACTTAAGAAAAATGTTGAAGAAAAAATTAAGAAACAAATTGAGGAAACTGATAAATCTGAAAAACTTCCTATTGATGTTTTCCAAAAGCTGCAATCTTATCTAAGTGATCTAGGAAAGAATATGCCTATAAACATTGAGAGCGTTAAAAATGAAATTCAGCGTCTTGAGACTTCTAAAGTAGAACTTGAAAAGATAAAAGAGCCTTTTCCTAAGAATAATGCTAAATCACTTGAGTCTCATCAGGCTTCCTTGAAGTCTCTTGAGACACTGAAAGAGCTTTGTGGATATGCTGAGAAAATTGATAAAAAATCTGATAGCTGTAAAGATATTTTAGAGAGTCTTTGCACAGGCCTCGAAAATTTTCTCGGCTTCCAGAAGGGGAATTACACCGGAGAGGGAATCGTGTACTCCGACCTTGACAGGCTCTGCGACGGGGTGATGTCTTTCCTTCATGGTGTTCTTAAGGGGGTGAAGGATGATGATAATCTTCAAAAATATAATACTCCTTTAACTGTGCCACTTCAAAAAATTAAAGAAGCTCTCTATAATAGAAAGCTTTTTGATAGTAGTATTCGCCAAGTGAGTGAGGGGATTAGGCAGTGGGTGAGGGGGGTGGAGGATTCTAATAGAGGAGTGATGAGGCCTTTAAATGAGCTTTTAGAATTACTTGGTAATCACAGGTTAATTGACATGGAAAATAAGTCAGTCACAGAGCAGTTGAAAAATTGGCAGGGCTTTTCAGCCCTTTACCTGGAAAAGGTTGTAGCATCTGAGAAAGCTCTGAATGAAATTGACGACCGTCTCAAAGATGCGCTGTGGTCTAAAATGGTAACAATTAGACAGGTCGTTGATAATTTTTGGATATCCGTGAATGATCCTGACGTCGATGAGTCTGTTAATGAATTGAGAGATAAGTTCGCTCACCATCGTATTGAACTCCATAAAGATATTGGCGTTAAAATGCAAGCCTTACAGCAAGAGTTAAATGCAAATTTCTCGACAATGGAAGAGAAAATTAAGCAGGTCAAGGAGGCAAAAGAGACGCATTTTAAGAAGATTGAAGCAGCCGTGAAAGTGGCGCAGAAGTTGGCTGATGATTTAGTCGGCGAAAAAGTGAACGGTTTTGACGAGAAGTACACGAAAATGATATCTGCGTTGTTCACGGAAATAAAAGAAGAAATTGAGAAATATGCTGGGAAGAATGGTAAGCCTCCATTTTTCACAAATTTTGAGCAAATTGCTGAAGAGGTTCCAAAGCTTAAGATGAAAACGGTCAGTGACTTGAAAGAGTTAAAACGTGATATTATTGATACGGTTATGCCATATGTTTATAGTCTTTCTAATGGTATTGGTCCGTCATCTGGCTTTCTGAGTGAAGCAATAAATGCCGAGAACCAAGCTAATAAAGGAAAACCACTGCAACATGCTCTAGTATTGCTTAGAACGTCAGGCGCTGCATCGAACATTAATACAGATGTAGAGAACGCTATTAACAGCGCATTTCCACCGAATATCGATGATGCTGCTGAAGGCTCTAATGTGGATCTTAAAGACAAGATGGAAGAAATTAGTAAAGCAGAGGGTATTCTGCAAGAAGCAATAACTTCTGTTAACAAGCAAATTGAGGGATTGAAAAATGTTCCCGAATTCGTCAACGGCAGAATGACCCAAGCAGGCAACGACATGGAGATTCTGAAAACGGAAATCACTGGCATAAAGACTGCAATCACGGAAATTTCTCCACTTGTCCAAGCATCCGGCGATGCCATAAATGGAGCAATTGGGACCCTCGAAAGCTCTCTGGGAAACGCGCGAGGTTTCGTAAAATTAGCACTCCCATCTCTACAGACTTACTTGCAGAGAGAGGTGGGCAAAGCCTTCAACGACCTTGAAGATGGTGCCCAAAGAATGTTCGCCGAGCAAAAGAAAGTTGCATTGCGATCGTTATCTGAGTGCATCACGGAGAAGATTTCAAGCCTGCAGAGCGTTATCGACGATGACATGGAGACAGGCCTGAAAGGGCTCATGGGAAATTTAAAGACAACGTTTGATGCACATAGCTTACAACATACGCATACCAAACTTCACCAATTGGCAAGCGACGCGAAAAAGTTCTACGAAACATTATTCGGCAAATTGCTAGAGCAGGATGATCTCTATCCGTACGATGGTAAAATCACTCCTCTAAAAAATTCTCTGCTAGATGTGTTTGGTAAAATGTTCAATAAACAACACTTCCACCGCGACGTCTCCGACAAAATCGACGCGCTCGGAAAGCAACTGCACAACTTCGCTCCAACACAATTCCACGACGCCTCTCCCCTGCTCAACGTCGTAAAGCGCGGCGTCACTCGCCTCCACGAGCAGCTACGCAAGCAGTACGTCAGCAGGTACTCGGGGGAGACGTTCGGTGGTCAACTTGTGGAGACTAAGAGGGACGCTGATGGAAAGCCAACTGCCAAAATAACAGAGTATGGCACTAAGTGTGCTAAGTTATGCTTAACCATCTTACCCTCTGTATATGACCATTTGACCAAGTTGAAGGAAGACTGTGAACACCCTTGGAAGCATAACAAAATGTGTCTCGTTTCCAAACCTAATATACACAATCACCTGGGACATTTCCTGCAAAAGTGCGGTTATGAAGTTACCAAAAAAGAAGATTCCCATGACGGTGAATTGAAATTCCCTTCCACCGGGTGCAACGGTAAGAAGATTCACGAGAAACTTAACGAGCCGATTTCAGAAGCCAACCTAACAAAACACCTTACAACTTGTAGACCAAATAAAAAACGAACAGACTTTAAGGTAACAGACATTCTTAAATGTATTCACAGTCACATTGATGCGTACTACAAACTTGGCCACCTACTCAATTCATCATCCAAGAGACATCCGTGTTCTGTGTATGAGAAACTTATATGGTTGTGTGGACTGCCGTGCAATTCTGTGTTTTTACCTATGTTAGATGAAACCATAAGTGATCTGTTTTCTGATCCACGTAAACAGACAACACACGACGGTATAACTCTCACAGTTATAGACTCCGAATCACTGCCAGCGTATCCACAGCCGATGGAATATGATGATGCACGAAAAGCGGTGACATATGTCTGCTCAACTTCATATGACATTTTGACTGGCATAGTTGGCACAGGCGATGCCAATACCATGTACGGCGTCGACTTCTATGACAACTCCCTGAAATTACACTATCCTCAAAAAGGGGAAGACTGTTTGAATATGCTGCTAGATGTCTTACGTAGACTCTTCCAGCCACTTAAATACCTATATTTGCGGTGCGGATTAAGCGCTGAGCACAACGGCTGGCGTGACTGCCCCTACGGAAAAGACGTGCCTACCGCCAAATCACATTGTGAGAGGCAGTCAACTGTCGAAGCAACGGGCCAAGCAAAGTGCCGACCTACGTGCCAGGCAAAGTGCGAACCAAATTGCCAACCAACTTCACCATTAATGTCTTACTTAAATGACTGTCTGCCTGGTCACTTACCTCACCACCTAAGCAGCGTTGGATGTAAATCCGTATGCAGCACCTGCCCTACTACCTCCAGGCTGGGAATGCCCTGTCTCACTCCGCTTGGCTTCAGAGGTTTCTGTGGGTCTACGAAGAGGGGTTCAGACATGTGGGAACTGCTTGACGGAATGTTCGCCGATGAATATATCCCTTCCCTTTTCTGCCTTGTTGTCAAACCGCCATCCACACTACCGGAACATTTCCAGTTTGCATTGACCTTAGTTGATATGTTGAATAATGGCAACAAATCCGGTACGAATCCAGTCGCGACGGCTTTTGAGACCACAACCAAGGAGCTGTCCATTGAGCTGTGTAAAGATTATAACAAATTCACAAGTGCTTTTACCAATGCGTATAACAGCCACGACATCTCCAACCATCGCAAATCCACAGAAGCCGATCTGTACACCATGTCGACTCCATCGACATGTATGCGCGCTCACGCAGACAAACTTCACTGTGCTCCGTACCTTCAGTCCCTGTACAACGACACATATACTTTCCTCGCTGAGAAGCATTGCCATCTATATCTTTCCTGGGCTGTCTACCTGCCGTGGACGTTCTGCCAGTATCTCAAAAGCCTACTTGATGCCTTCTCCAACATATCCTGCCAGGATTGGGGCTGCGGCAGATGTGTTAACGGTGACAAATGTAAAACTGGGAAGCATGGAATTGAAAACTGCCGGTGCCGGGGACTCGTTGAATGCCGCGGCGTACAGAGCGCGTTATACCAATATGGATTCACGTTTGGCAATCCGCAGAAATTATCGGACAGCAAGGAAAAACGATACTGCCATCATTTCTACATACAACTTTCAAACATTGTTAATTCGACATATTTCCAGAAGCTGTTCGAAGCTTGTGATGAATTCCTGAAAGAAATCAGATGGCCATTTATGCTAACGTTACTAGCCCTCTGGTCGCTGTCGCTCCTGTACCTGCTGCACATCGCCGTCGTCCGCCTCGACGTCCTGAGGATACGCTCCCACCTGAGATCACCCGCAAGCCACCGCATCGCCGCGCAGTCCCTCCTCGCCGCCGCACGCGTCAAGGCACTCGCCAACGTCAAGTACTTCTCACCATTATCGTGCCTTCACGCGTGATCTGTGTATTACCCACTCACCTAATCACTCACCCACTCACCCACTCAACCACTCACTCACTCACCCACTCAACCACTCACTCACCCAACTACTCACTCACCCAACCACTCACTCACTCACTCACCCACCTACTCACTCACCCAACTACTCACCCACTCACTCAACACCACCCACCACCCACTCACCACTCACCCACTCACTCACTCAACCACCCACTCAACCACTCAACACTCACCCATTTCACCCACTCAACCACTCAAAACCATTTAACTACTTAATTCACCACTCATTTACTTACCCATTTACTCAACCACCCACTCAACATTCAACCACTCAACCACTCAATTCCCCATTCACTCACTTATTCACTTTCTTTCACTGGCCTTTCTTTTTCTTCCTCCATCACCTCCTCCGTCGGTCCTTCGCCCAAATCCTCATTTTCCACTTTCTCCCTCCACCTCCGTTATCGCCTTGCCTCAACCCATCTTCCTCCTTCATCGCCCCCTTTCGCCCCTTCACCTCCCTCACCCTGTCCACCCACCTCCCTCGCTGCCTCACTGCCTCCTTGACCTAAAATCGCCTTTCCCCAAAATCACCCAAATCGCCCTAAAAATGTGCCTAAAATAATCCTTCAACAACATTATTAAATAACCTCTGCACAGGCCTCGAAAAATTTCTCGGCTACCAGGATGGTAATTACACCGGAGAGGGAATTGTGTACTCGGACCTTGACAGGCTCTGCGACGGGGTGATGTCTTTCCTTCATGGAGTTCTTGAGAGTGTGAAAGATGATGAGAGCGTCAAAACGTATTATCAGGTAAGTAAAATGAATCATTTACTTCATACTATTCAGGCAAAAATGTATCAAGGCTCCAAGGAGTTTCCGACGGCCATTGAAGCTGTGACCACGGCGTTGCAGGAGTGGGACACAAGGCTTCAAAAACGCACTAACGCACTTAAACAAAGACTTAGTGACTTACAATCTAATAATTATACTAGCTTTAATGGCGCACTTAATGAACTTAGCTCACTTAGTGGTGACGCACTTAGTAAGGTCCCTTACCAGTTGGGTGTTTGTATCCAACACGCTACTGAGCTCCTTGACGCCTTCAAGGTAGCCAAAAAAGCTTACAGTAACCTAGATGCTGGCCTTCAAAAAAGGCTCAGCGATTCCGTAAATAAGGTGGAGTTAGAGGTTGAGAAATTCCACGCAGCAGCGACCAATGATGAGCTGCGCCAGGCGTTGGTGTTTACTGAGGGACAAATAACGGAGTTGGAAAAGGAGGTGAAAGACATTGTTGATAGAAAGGTACATGGTATGGAGGATGCAATATATGCAAAATTTGAGAAGCAGATTCGTTGGCCCATTGAAGATGTTAATAAAAAGTTGAGTCAAGTGAATCGTGAATTGGAGGAGTGGATTCGGGAAGCCGGGGGCGTTGTAAGGAAAGCCGTTGATAAGTGTAATGTAATATTGTTGAAAGTGGAGGATAGGAATGGTCAACCAACGGAACTAAAGAAGGCGGCTCAAACTCTACAAACTGAGGGTACAAGACTTTTGACTGCGGCGAAGGAGGCCAAGGAGCAAGTTGAAGCGTTGGTGCCGGCGGCATTAGGGGCTGTGAAGATAATGAATGATGCGCTTAAAGGGGATTTGCATAAGGTGAGAGAGGGGATATTGAATCAAACCAAACAGTATGCTACGACGCTGCCTGAACAGATTCGGAAGGTGGTTGAAAAAATTACAGATGAGATTGCGACACGCAGTGGCACTCCGGATTCTCTTCTTGATATTATTGAAGGGGTGAAGAAGTATGCCAAGCAGTTCGAGTCAAAATTCTCGGCGTCAGTAGAGAAGATGGTGACGGCAATTGTGAACGGGGCGGTGGATCAGTATATTACCTGGTATGTTGGGAGTAACCAAGGTAAGTTCAACATTGCGAAATACAATAATGAGCCGCAACAACGTGAGGCGGTGAAAAAAGTTATTCAATATTACCTCCCCGGCTACATTCGAGATTTAATAACGGGCGCGGCTTTAACAGCCGGACTTAACGACATTACAAATGTAAGTAAGATAGGAGAAAATTTTAGAGAATTCTCTAAAGACATAAACAGACAGATTAGCAGTATTAAGGCTGAAGACGTGGCACAACAAATTGAGGGTGAGTTGGAGAGGGTGAAGGTGCTAAATGCTTCTTCTCAATCCAAAAAAGAATTTCTCCAGTCCGCGCTTGAGATTATAGTATCAGCAGTCAATACCTTCAGTACAAATATGTCCCAGGAACTCAAACTGCTGATGGAAACCTGCAGCATTGTCAACCTGGAATCAGCTATGGCAACGGTTAAGGGGATTGGTGCGGGGATCGGGCAGTCTCTTACCACCGTTATTATCCCTCCCGCAGGCACTAGTGTTACAACGCAAATTTATGATAAGATTACTCGAATACTCACCGAACACATTGGGGAGGATGATCTAACAGACGCTTTAGTCAGCCCGAAAGTGAAAGCGGATAAGGTCAAAATTGAAACGGGGAATTTTGCTAATTATAAAACGTACGTTATCCAACCCGTGAATCCAACTGCACAAGGTAGACTGCCTGATGAGATCAACAAAATTCAGAGCCAGGGCATGGCTTCGCTTAATGCAATTCCGGAGAATACTGTCTTTACGTGCCAGTTAGAAGCTGTTAACAAGCACCTTACTGAGATCACTACATTGGTCAGCGGTGGGAGGAAACGTAGCTTTGCTGACGATGGTGACAAAGGCGTCAAAATACTGTTGCAAGATCTCTGTAAAGGACTTGGCAATGATAAAGTGGAGCATGCTTTTACTCGTGGTCTCGCGATAATTAAGACCAAAATTGAGAACATTCTGGGCATTGGAAAAAGCGACGAGCCAAATACATTAAAGAAAATACTGAAAGACGCCGGCAAGTTCTACAATGAAGTAATACAAAAGCACGCCGACGACGCCATCACCGATATTCACGGTTTTATTACCGAGGAGGTAACAGAGAAAATCAGGAATATTCAGCATAATGTGAAAGATCTCTACTATACCAAGATTAGTGGAATGTTCAACGAGATGAAAGAAAGTGTTAATTGGGAAATAAGTGCAATCGATAAGGAAATAAAGAGTGATCTATACAGCGGAGTAAAAGGCTTTTTAAAAGGGCTGAGGGGTAATTTTGAGATGTTGGGTCTTCCAAGTTTCGAAAATAGGCTGGGAGCTCTGAAAGAGCGTCAAAACGTTGATCCTAAAAATGGATTTAATACCCTGTCAAACAACCTGAAGGATTATCTCGATCCGATTTTAACATACGTACAAAATGATTTAACAAAACATCTCTCCAACTCCCAATACCCCTCCCAACTCTCCACCATCCACTCCGCTGTGGACACCCTCCTCTCCCACCTGTCCACGCAAAAACACTTCGACCACAAGGTCCCCGGAATGCTCGCGGAACTCAAGACGTCCGTCCAAGCACTCCACTCCACAAACTTCGGCAACCCCGCGTACCCCGTGCTCGACGCTTTCCCCAAGAGCCTGGTGCGCTTCGTCGAGCAGCTGGAGAGGGGGTACGTGAACAGGTATGAGGGGGGTGAGGATGCAGAAGAGTTTAAGAAATTCGTGAATGATTATCCTAAAAACGATGAGTTGATCTCTTATGGTACGAATTTGTCTAAGGTTTTGCTCACCTTAATGGAGGGGCTGAGAAAAGATGTGTTTGATTTGCAAAATGAATGTGGAAAGACATCTGGTGGATGGCGGAACATGAACATTATTTCAAGCAATAAACTTGGCGAATTCTTTAGTAATCGTGGTTACCTTGTCTCGAAGGTAAAACAAGACGGTGAGTTGCGGAACCACGATGAGTGCAAGGGTGAAAAAATTAAGAGTGAACTTCTTACAAAGAAAATTACAGAAGGTTCCACAAGTCCGATCATAAAGGCGTGGAAGGAAACAAACAAGAAAGAGAATCCTGAGGAAATCTCTCTCTTCGACATTGCCGATTTTCTCCGCGAATTTTTCAGAAAGTACTATGAAGTATGCCAACATATTCATATCGATAAGCCCACGTCACCATCGAACATCTATCAAATGCTCCAGTGGCTGTCCGGGTTGTACTTTAACCCGATGTATGAGAAAGTGAAGGAACAATTTAGTGGACTTTTTGATAAGGATACCAAGCAGTTATCTGTAGTCGTACCAGACAAAGAGAAACATACAAAGGACGTAACTCTTAAACCTAGTGATTTAGACACCCCAATCCAACAGGTTTGTTTACGCTCGCAACTTGCACTAACCGCCATCCTAGGTCACGGACACGCAGACGGGCGATACGCCTGTGACTTCCGCACAAACTTAGACAAATTATCGTATCCCTCTAATGCATCATCATGCTTAGACATGCTTGTTGATATATTGAAGAGAGTGTGCTTACAAACATACTTCCTATACCTTCAATGTAAAAACAGCCGTTTTAGAGGCGGGTGGGCCGACTGCCACTATGGCAGATACGTAGGTGGGTCATCATGGAACTGCAATGAGTTCCAATGTGCCAACCTAGAGTGCAAGCTAAGCGGTAACCAAAATGGTAACCTAAGTGCTGGCCAACGCTGCGATCAACACCCTATCTGCGGTGTGAAATCACCACTTCAATCGTTCCTTGAAGATGGATTACCAGGCTTTCTACCTCATTCGTTTAAAACTCCTGGTTGTAAGCTTACGTGTAGCCTTCGTAATCATAATGGTATCCCGTGTAAAACGCCCATGGGATTTTCCGACATTGGTATTGTAGCCTCTCATACACAGAAAGGTGCGTATCTACTTGGTGAACTCAAACATTTCTGCGGCCCAGATTCTAAACTCAATAAGTTGTGTTCTTACCTCAACTGCCTGCTCCGCGTAGCACCGCAGACGCTTAGCGATATGTTTGCGTTTTACCATAGATTGCTCAGGTTCTGGGGTGACAAGAAGAAAACTTCGGTGCTTAAGAGTGTTGCATTTGATGAAGCTGTCCGAAAGGCCAACTTTGGGAACAAGGAAACAAAGTTGGACGTTACATTCATTCATCAATACGATAGTCATTCTAGCAATACGCATAAAAATGGTGATCTGTTCAGCCTTATAAACTGCAACCAGAATAGTAACCCAGTCGTTCCCTGCGGCCCATATTTGCAGCCTTTGTCTCTTGAAGGTTGTGATACATTTTCCGGTAAGCACTCTGGTAACTATCTTTCATGGGTAGTATATATAACAGAGACCTTTTATGACCTACTTAAAAAACTATATGAAGATTGTTGCAATAATTGCAACAAACCAGGCACCAGATGCTACGAAAAATGCTGTGTTGATAATTGTGCAGTGAAATTAACTTATAAAGCAGGAAAATCAAAAATTAGTCAACCAAATTCAAATCAACTATCTACAGCAGAACATCAATCGGATTGCCATGCCATTGTCAGATGCAAAAATACACATCCGACATTGTATGCATACGGCTTAACCTTTAAAAGCCCATCCACGCTATGTGGCGAAAAATCTGAAACGACGAAACGCACATGTCAAGATTTCTGCCAGGTGTTACAGAAGGTGTGTCATGGCAGATCAGTACTTGCCGACTTGGTCATTAACAAAATTCCAGCATTCTTGTGGGAGATAAGATACAAATTCTTCTACACGCTTGTGGCCCTCTGGTCCCTCTCTTTGCTCTACCTGCTGCACATCGCCGTCGTCCGCCTCGACGTCCTCCGCATACGCTCCCACCTGAGATCACCCGCAAGCCACCGCATCGCCGCGCAGTCCCTCCTCGCCGCCGCACGCGTCAAGGCACTCGCCAACGTCAAGTACTTCTCACCATAATCGTGCCTTCACCCACTCACTCACTCACTCAACCACTCACTCACCCACTCACCCACCCACTCACCCATCTCACCTAATCACTCACCCACTCACCCACTCACCCACTCAACCACTCACCCACTCACCCACCCACTCAACCACTCACCCACTCAACACACCCAATCAACCATTTACTCACCTACTCAACCATCACTCATTTACCCACCCACTCACCTAACCACCCACTCAACCACCTAACTACTCAACCACTCACTCACTCAACCACCCACTCACCCACTCACTCACCTCCCTCCTTCACTGGTCGCTTCGCTCCCTCCTCCCATCATCCTCCTCCATCACCTCCTCCGTCGGCGTCCTTCGCCCAAAATCCCCATTTTCCTCTTTCCCCCTCCACCTCCGAAACCGCCTTACCTCCACCCATCTTCCCCCTTCATCGCCCTCTTTCGCCCCTTCACCTCCCTCACCCTGTCCACCCACCTCCCTCGCTGCCTCACTGCTTCCTTGACCTAAAATTGCCTTTCTCCAAACTCCCCCAAATCGCTCTTAAAATGTGCCTAATAATTCCCATAATCTACTTAATAACCTGTGCTCTGGCCTGGAGAAGTTCCTTGGTTACCAAGAAACTTCCAAAGGCTACGATGGCTCCGGCATCGTGTACTCCGACCTCGACAGGCTGTGTGACGGGGTGATGTCTTTCCTTCATGGTGTTTTGCATAGCATTCAGCCTAAATTAGGCTTACATAGTGATAGGATTAGAGAGGCAATTAATGCTCTTAACACCCATAAACACTCCGGCAAAGAGGGTTTTAATGCTGCGATTGTCAAGGTGGTGGAGCGGGTGAGGCAGTATAATGAGGGTGTGAGGGAGGGGAACAATAAGGTGAGTGGACCGATGATTACTTTCATTAGCAAAATGAATGATCTCCAAAGGCAGGTGAGTGGAATCTCAGAAAATAATTTTCATACAGGTGAAATTGACACGGCCGTTAAGGCCGTCGACCAGAAGGTGGACGAGTGTATTAAGAAAGATGGTGGCTATGCCTATAACTTTATCAAAAACATTTCACATGCCAAGAAACACGTAGATGATTTATCTGAACACTTAAAACATAGAGTTAATAATGTTAAAGATTGTGTTTTCCATGAACGTAGCAGGCTGCATGAAATTCATAAGACGCTGCAGAGTGATAGGGAAGCCGTCGTCAAGTTGGTTGAGAGCCAGCTCAATGATGCTAGAGATAAGATTAAATTACAGATCACGCAAGAAGTTACTGCGCTTGTCGGACAGTTGCAGAAATTGGTTATCCAGATTAAAAGTAAGTTGGAAGAAATTGACAGGTGGCTGAAGCAGTACGTCACCGACTTAGAAACTCGAATGAAGGAAGCTGAAGAAATTGTTAGGGCAGTGGAACAGAAGGTGGAAAAAATATTGGAGGAGGTTCATAAGGATGGTAAACATATAAATGATCTTAAAGCAGCCGCTAACATGATTAGGCAGCACGCTTATTCGCTTTGGGAGGCTGGCGATCAGGCTAAAAGGAACGTTATCGCGGAGGTCAAGACGGCGCTTGGAGAGGTTGTGAAAACGAACTTGGCGCTGAGGGGGGATTTGGACCATGTGAAGACGGCGCTTTTGATGGGAATTAGGCAGTATGTTAAGACGAACTTGCTCACTACCATTAAGGGAGACGTTGATACCATTAAGGGGATTGGAAAGGATGATGGTCTTGGGGCAATTAGGAGGAGAATAGTGGAAGAGTATGCCAAGCAGTTTGGCACGGCGACATTGGCCAGCAAGGTGCAGGATTGGTTGGAAAGCATTCTGGAGAGTAAAACGATTATGGACAAAATTGGGGAAAGTATTGGCAGAAAGGGTGTATCACTGGAGGAAATCTTCAACGGTGACCAGGGTGTTGAAGGTTTTGCAGCGACAATCGTTAGTCAACTACGTAGCGAAATGGAGGAAGCCACAAGGGATGTCCAATTTGACGAAAAAGGAGACATTGAAGTCACTCTCACTGCTGTCATGTCCGTTTGCAATAAATTTGCCAAGGGGCTTGATAAGGTTATTGAGCAAAAACTAGATACAATCGTCGGCGTGATTAATATTCTGCCGGGGTTGGATGTTGGGGGCCCACGCAACAAAGATCTATACCTCAGAGGCGCTGTCCGTATGGTTCTTCAACAACTCGTCGGTGCGGCCAGGCAGGCTGGCGGGGAGCTTTACTCGTTCACCGGTGAAGATGATGATAATTACAATCTCGGCAGGAACGTTGACAAGGCGCTTAAAGTGGCTGGGGAGCTGTCGGAAAATCTCCGAACGGCGACTAGCATCGACCGCGACGCCGTCCCCGCTCCCAAGTCCCCCTACGATGTTGATACGCAGGTCAACACGGTACTGGATGGTAAAATTGGAAAGACAAATAGTGTTGATGCACTTGGTAAAGTCGACATTGAGATTACGCAGTTCAGCAGTTATGATAAGTTCCTTAAACAAGCAAAACTTAAAAGTGATAAGGCTCAACTAACCGGCAATCCAGGCGACGACGAAGGCTCTTTCCCCCAGGCCATCAAGAAAATTGAGACGCAGGTGAAAGAGGCTTTGAAGACAATTGAGAGTCTCAACGGCGAAGCCGAGACGCAGTTACAAACTACCTACCGGCATCTCGACAGTTTATGCCAAGCTATCACGGAATTTGCAGAAACCGGCCACGATAGCGCTAAAAAGAACATAACGGAGTTGAAAAGAAAAATTGGCATCACTCTAAAGGGTGAGCAGACAAGCTTCCAAAAAGTTCATTATAATCTTAATCAGCTTAGAGAAGATAATTTGAAGAAGGCAATCAACGATGCCGAAAACTTTTCTGTTGAAGCCGATAAGGAAAAGAAGAAAACAATCAGAAAACTCAACGCATTTGTCACCTTCACAATTGACAGTGTCAGAGACAACATCACCAACGACCTGAAATCCCGCTACGTCAAATTCATCAAGTCGCAGCTCACAAAGTTCGCCGAGAAAGTAGAAAAGGAAATCGGAACGCTCCCAAAAGACATAACAAAAGATGCCGACAAGGGCTTTAAAGGCTTCATGGGAGTGCTCGAGCAGAAATTGACGGACAGTAAAATACAAGAATTGGGTGAAAATGCTAAACTGGGAGATTTATCTCCCAAGGTTCAGAAGTTCTTCACTGACCTCCCCAAAACGCTGATGAAGAGGTCTGACATCATGCCTCCGGACAAACTCTCCTTACTTTCCAGAACACTTAAAACATTATTCACTGACCTCACCAAATACAACAGAAACTTCGTCACAAACTTATCCGCACTTAACACTTTACTCACCGAAATACACCCTGAATCGTACGCCAACCAAAGCAACCCGCTGCTGCAGTTCCTCAAAGGAGGCATAACAGATATGCACGGGGAGCTAGATAAGGCGTATGTATCAGTGTACGATAGTGAGATTATCACAATATATAACGACATAACTAAGAGCATAACCTCTGATGGTACAAAGTGCGCGAAAATTGTGCTCACCATTGTGCCCACCGTATATCACACCTTAACACAGCTCAGAAGAGAGCTTCATGAATCAGACGGCAAATGGAACTCTTATAACATATATGATTCCAAAGAGTCCCACCATAGCTTACATAGACTATTCTTTAATGATAATGGTTACGATACCGGCCTTGCCGGTAAAGTGGAGCACGGCGAACTGAATCACAAGTCTGGGTTCACGGGTCAGAATATTCTTACCAAACTCAACGACACAACTCATAATTTGTTTGTGACTAATAAACAGTCACTTAAAGCATCTGCCATCGCTCCTACATCCGATGACATACCCTTCGAATACACGGGCGAGAACGGTGTCATCCCAAGCCTATATGATTACCTTAAGAAATACTTCAATGTATGCCATTATACGCATATTAAATCACCCAGGATACCGTGCTCCGTTTATGAAATGTTACTTTGGGTTTGCGGTTTACAGTTCAGTCCCGTATTCAAACCACTTTTAGATCACGTTAACGAATTATTCATGGTGCCCATTGATGGAGACCCATCGAAAAAAACCCTTAAGCCTATCGATGCCTCACCGTCCACCATTAGCGCCAGCGACATTTGTACAACTATTGAAGAGATATGTTTTAAATCCTACCCTGTCCTCACTACTATTGCGGGCCACGGAGACGCCTATACGACATACGCCTGTGAGTTCTCTACTAACTCCCTCAAATTCAAATATCCCACAAGAGGTGAGGAATGCTTTCAACTCTTGCTCGATATCCTCCGTAAACTATTCCCTCCACTTAGATTTTTGTTTGGTCAATGTAGTAACCCGGCGTCTGAGCATGGTTGGTTGAAGTGCCAGTACGGCAGGGACATTACTACAGTCAATCAGCCCTGCAAAGCGCATTCAACCGACAAGGCAAATGGACAGTCAACGTCTAAACCTATGTGCCAACCAAATGGTCATCCAAATGACCAACCAACGTGCCAACCTAGATCACCACTTATGAGCTACCTAAATGATACCTTACCCGGTCACTTGCCGCACCAACTCAACTCGGTTGGCTGCAAGTCTGTATGTAAATCGTGCCCTGGTAGTACACCCGGAATGCCTTGCTTGACACCTCTGGGATTCAGGGAATTTTCTGGCAGTATTAAAACGGGTAAAGACATATGCGACATACTTGGTGACTTGTTTGAAACTAACAATATATCTGCCGTGTTCTGCCTATCGCCTAAGCCACCGTCTACATTGCCAGAGCATTTTGGTTTTGCGTTGTATTTAGTTAAGGGCTGGCTTCATAGTTCCCAATCTAAGAAAGCCACCATGAACAAATTCACCCTTCAAGCGTCATTTGAGTCATCTATCACTAACACATCCATCAAGCTGTTCGAAAATGCGGATCGCTTTACAAATGCCCTTGCCAACGCATATGGATCTGACTCTGTAAGGCATTCCGAATGCCAACATCCTCATTTGATGAATCTCACAATTACTGACTTCTGCAACAGCAACATAAAAAGGATAGAATGCGCTCCCTACCTTTCGAGTCTTTATAGTGATGCCTATCACCACCTTGCCAACAAACATTCTAACACCTATTTATCATGGGCGGTTTACTTGCCATGGGATTTCTGGAGGTATCTTCTGTCTTTATATGATGCCTTCAGAAATATTTTCTGCAGGGAATGGGGATGTCGTCGCTGTCTACATCACGGAGCCTGTACACCAGGGAGTCATGGAAGTTTCGAGACTCCTTGTCACTGCAAATCACTTGTGACATGTAAAGGTGTGACGCCAACACTGTATAAATGTGGGTTCATGTTTGGCGATGCCATTGCAATCAATGCACTGAATACACGAAGGACGTGCGCCACCTTTGCAAAACATTTGAAGAGCGTTATACAATCGCATTATTTCAAAACTCTATTTGAAATCATTGACAACTTCATGTTCACAATTCGCGCACCTTTCATATGGACCTTGCTAGCCCTCTGGTCGCTGTCGCTCCTCTACCTGCTGCACATCGCCGTCGTCCGCCTCGACGTCCTGAGGATACGCTCCCACTTAAGGCCACCCTCAAGCCACCGCATCGCCGCGCAGTCCCTCCTCGCCGCCGCACGCGTCAAGGCACTCGCCAACGTCAAGTACTTCTCACCATAATCGTGCCTTCACGTGTGATCTGTGTATCACCCACCCACTCAACCACTCAACCACTCAACCACTCACTCACCCACTCAACCACTCACTCACCCACTCAACCACCCACTCAACCACTCACCCACTCAACCACTCAACCACCCACTCACCACCCACCTACTCACCCACCCACCCAATCACTCACCCAACCACTCACCCACTCACCCACTCAACCACTCACCCACTCACTCACCCACTCACTCACCCACTCACTCACCCACATACTCACCCACCCACTCACCCACTCACTCACCTCACTCACCCACTCACTCACTCACTCACCACTCACCCACTACCACTCAACCACTAACCATACTCACTCACCACTCACCCACTCACTCAACTCACTCACTACCCACTCACCCACTCACCCACTCACCCACCCACCCACTCACCCACCCACTCACTCACCCACCCACTCACTCACCAACTCACCTAATCACTCACTCAACCACCTCCTCCTTCTCTGGTCGCTTCGCTCCCTCCTCCTCCCTCACCTCCTCCGTCGGCGTCCCTCACCCAAATCCTCATTTTCCACATTCCCCCTCCACCCCTATAATCGCCTCACCTCCACCCATCTTCCTCCCTCATCGCCCTCTTTCGCCCCTTCACCTCCCTCACCCTGTCCACCCACCTCCCTCACTCCCTCGCTGCCTCCTTGACCTAATTTGACCTTTCTCAAAAAATTCTAATTTTCTCCAAAAGTGTCCCATTTCACCTCCTCTAATTGTCCTTTAACCTTTTTTCCACTTTCTTCTTTCACCTCTTTTGACCTCCCTTCTCGGCCTCCTTCTGACTCCTCTGGTCAGCCTCTTAACTACTGTGATCACTTGACTAGCCAAATTAACAACCTTAAAAAATCTGACAACCCTAATGAAAATAAGCTTAATAAACTTCAATCTGACTTAAGCAGCCACAAAAGTGAAGTGCACAGCAATCCGTCCAAAAGGGACGGTGCTTTGAAGGACATCCGCTCCAGGATGGTGTCTCTTGCTGAGCTCAGTGGGAAGCTTGGCCAATTTATTGGCAAATCTGACGCTGTTACTACAGCAATTAATAATGGTATTAACATCATTATTGACAGTAATGAAGACTTCAAAAGCCTTAAAAAGTCTCCGTCTTCGACTGCGCTTCCTCCCCCTGCCGTGTCTGCTGTGTCCATAAATGTTGATATGCTTAGTAAGAAAATTGAGCATTTTAAGAAAGAAATTGCGTCTCTTTCCGCTCAGATAGAACAACTTAAAAACCAAAAAACGTCTGTCCCCGATGACCTTAATAAGTCTCATGAGTCTTGTCAGTCCAAGTTGGATGCTCTTCAGAAGCTGAAGAGCCTTAATGAGTCTTTTGAATCTCTTAAAAGTCCACAAGATAAACCTTGTGAAACATTATTAAATAACCTCTGTTCTGGCTTGGAGAAGTTCCTTGGTTACAATGAACATTCCAAAGGCTACGATGGCTCCGGCATCGTGTACTCGGACCTTGACAGGCTCTGCGACGGGGTGATGTCTTTCCTTCATGGAGTTTTAAGTAACATTCATGGTCATTTAGGCTTACATAGTGATGAGATTCGAAGTGCAATTGAGTCCCTTGAACGCAATAAACATCTTGGCAAAGAGGGTTTTAATACTGCGATTCAAGCAGTGGTCACGGGGGTGAACAGGTATAATGAGGGTGTGAAGGCGTCAAATAATGCTGTGATCACGCCGATAAAAAAGCTTCAAGATGAGATGGAAGACCTAAAAAATGCGGTAAGTAAAATTCAAGAAAATAATTCTTCTGTAGGTGCAATTGACAAGAGTGTGACGGAGTGTCTCAGCCAGGCACAGCACTTTGTCGATAATATTACACAAAATAGCGCAAACGTTAGCGATTTGTCTGATGACTTGAAACGTAATGTTATTAAAGCTAAGGATAATATTGAGTATCAGCGTGGCCAACTGGGCAAAATACATGAGCATCAGAAAGGGGACTTGAAGGCTGTGACAGACTTTGTTAGTAAACAGCTTGACGGTCTAAAGAGGAATGTATTTTCTTGCATCGAAAAAGACGTTGGGGAGCTTGTTAGGAAACTGAAGAATAAGGTTTCGGACATTTTGAAACAGGTTGTGGAGGTGAATAACAGTCTGAAAAAATATGTGCAGGCGCTGGACAAGTGGATGCGTGAGAGTAACAGTCTCATTGAAGGGGCGCAAAATGATGTCAAAGAGATACGTAAGGAGGTTACTTGGCATTCCGGTGAAGGCGAAACGTCGGAGAATTGGATGAATGCTGTAAACACTGCAGATGAATTGAAAAAGAAAGCACAGAAACTGTTGGACGCAGCGGAGACAGCCAAAAAACAAGTTCAGAGTTTGGTGACTGTGGCGCTGGAAGGTGTGAAGACGATGGACGACGAGCTGAAGAAGGATTTGCACGGGGTGAGGGGGCAAATTAAGGGAGCGATCATAAAGTTGGCGACGACGTTGGAAGGGAATGTGAAGAGTGATTTAAAAGTGCTAGAGGGGAATATTGATAGTGGATTAAATCCCATAGTCGGTAGTGCGCAGACCTTTAAACTGTCTTTGCAAACAACTAAAGGAGCGCTTATTAAGGCGATGAAGAGTGTGATTGGAGACGTGGGAGATCTTGAGAATCTGGCGAATCTGGAACAGATTAAAGGTGCTGACGGCACTCCTGTTTCAGCGCCGTTACTTCAGAAGCTTGCGGACCAAACTGCGTTTGGTAAGCTCACTGAATACTTTCAGCAGATTAAAACTCAACTGACGGAACCATTGAGGACGGTGATGGGGACAATAGGTGATGCGGTAGGAAAACTGGGCTCACCAGCGGGAAAGAACGATCTCAAGGAAGCACTGAAAACAGCTAAGGATAAACTTCTACAACTACACAAGGTTGTTAGGGGAGATTTGCCAACTCCTGATGTTACCCAAGTTACGCTTGATGGCGCGACCGTTAAGATTGAAGGCGTACATAAACTTGAACTCAACAGATATGCAAGGCACATTGAGAGCGTCGTTAATAAGATCAACGGTCAGTCTGACGTAATAGAAAAAACACAGTTAAAATCACTCTTCTCCACCCTCCGCCAGATTGACCAAACAGTTTCGGAGCATTCCGAGCAGGTTGTCAGAAGACTGATAGGTTCGATTAAAAATCAGGTGACAACGGAAGTCAAGAGTGTGGCGGGAACTATTAAGGCAAACGCTGAAAAAATTCGACTATGTATAAACCAGAATCAAGATCACGACGTCGACTACAGCGCCAAAAATTCAGCTAAAGGTCTGCAGAAGCTAGTGGAGACATTTGATACAAGTATTAAAGGCGCGCTTGGTAACCTTCAAAGCGATCTCGGAAAAACAATTTTCAAAAAAGCGTCGACGGGTAGTGGTGACAACAATTATGATCTTACTCAAGTCATGCCCCAATTCCACGGCACCTACGACACCAACTTCCGAACTGGCGATTTCAAAAATGTCGGCGGAACCGGTACCGAAAATGTCCTCGACGAGGAGATCGGCAAGGATATTCTCACGGGTGGAGGGTCTCCAGGTAACAAAATATCTGAACTCGCTAAAAAGAACTTCACAGAATACATTAAGCAAGTTGACCAAGATAGCCTTTCGCTTCCAATCGAACAGCTAAAAGGCGAGCTCCCCGAGAAGATCAAGAAAATCCGAGACACCGGCCTTGCGTCACTTAGCATAATCGACCCAGACGCTACTCCCGGTGAAACTAAAATAGAAAAGAAAACTTTCGAAGATCTCTTCACCAAGGTTGATTCATATCTCAATCAATTATGCGGTTCAGTTCGACGTGCCGTCAAAGGTCTGGAAGGTAATTTAGAGCATCTGACGAAAAACAGTATTGATATTGACCTAAAGAAAATTCATAATGATCTCCACATCCTGCAAAACGAGAAGTTGAAACAAGCCATCAAGGACGCTGACAGATTCCTTGATGAAGAGGCCAAACAGCTCCAAGAAGAGTGCATCAACCATCTCAAGTCCCACCTAATCAAGCAAGTCGGAATTGCCGAATCCGCCATCACCCAGGACCTCCGCGCGAAATACGTCAAATTCATGAAGGCCCAGCTGGAAGCCTTCGCCGAAAAATGCCAGACGGAGCTTCAACCTCTGCCGGACAAAATTACCGCGGACGCGGACAAAGGCGCGAAGGGGTTCATGAAGAAGATGGAAAGCATTGTCGGCAGGCTTCACAAGCATGACGACGTGAGCGTATTATCTACCAACGCCAGCGTAGTTATAACGGTTCTCACGGACCACGTAAAAACTCTTTTAGTTCGTAAGACTGGAATTCGCAGTCATGTTAAATTAATCTACTTGCTTGTTCACAAGATGTTCGAGGAACTCGGTAACTCTAAACACTTCGATCCCACATTCACCGATAACCTTCACACCCTAAAATCCAAGCTTAATGACCTAACACCTAAACAGTTCGGCGAAGAGTCCACTGCCCTGTTACAGTCCCTCAAGGACGGAATGACGGCGCTGACCGACGTGCTGTCCAAGTGCTACATAAACGCCTACGAGGGCGCTAAGCCGATCGAAAAGTGGACTGAGCCTCTGACTGCTGACCAGGCAAAAGAGAAGCTGACGCCGGACGGCGAGCGCTGCGCCAAGGCGTGTCTCACCATAGTTCCCATCATACGGGAAACGTTAGGTGAACTTGCAGGGCATCTTGAAAAAGATGATAGTGCATGGCGAAAGTATAAAATGTACACTTCCACAAAACAAGCTCGCAGCTTACATAAAGAATTCTTCCGTGAAAACGGTTACGATATAACTCTTAGCGACAGTGCCGATAGCGGTGAACTTAATCATAAAGACACCTTTAAAGGTAATAATATTTACACTCATATCACAGCCGGTGAACATGTACTGTTTAGTCCTAAGTCTGACCCCTCAGCTCCCGGTGCTGCAGAACTAGATGGGATAAGCGTTGAGGTTTCCGAAGAAAAGGGCTTAATCCCTGAACTTAATTCATATCACCAATTGTTCTTACAGGTCTGCCACCACACTCATTTAGACTCACCCAGAGTTCCATGTTCCATCTACGAAATGCTTGCGTGGTGTTGCGGTTTCCCGTTTAGTCCTGTATTTGAGAAATTTGAGCAGCACATTAATTCCGAGTTCATGGTGGCAGATAAGGCGGAGCCAACTAAGAAATCAGTTAAGCCCATTGAGGCGTCTCCCTCAAATGTAACTGCACCTATAACAGTAAAAGCCTTGACAAAGATGTGTGAGAAGGCGTATCCCGTCCTCACTTCTATACTGGGTAATGGGCACGCCAGTGGTATCTACGCCGTTGAGTTCTCCAACAATTCACTGAAGCTGTACTACCCTAGTTCCATGGTACAATTGCTGTGTATGTTGTATGATATCGCCAAACGGCTGCACCAACAGCTACACTTCCTATACCAACAATGCAAATATGGCTCCGACCAAAGCGGTTGGAGAGAGTGTTGGTACGGCAACCAAATCGGTGGTTCGTCATTCCAGTGCAACTCTCTCCAATGTGACAACCAAGACTGTAAGCTAAGTGCTACCCAAAGCGCTACCCAAAAGGGTAACCAAAGGGCTGACCAACCATGTAACCAGCACCCTACTTGTGGCGTGAAATCTCCATTACAGTCGTTCCTCGAAGACGGCCTTGTAGGTTACTTGCCACATAACGTATCATTTAGAGGGACAAATATTACATGTTCCAGCTGTCCCAAGTCGTCGCCTAGCACGCCATGTAAGACGCCCATGGGATTCCCTGAAATCGCTGTGACCGCGTCTCATAGGAACACTGGAAAGCATATTTACGATGTGCTTCGTAATTTCTGTAGCCGATCTGATAAGCCACTGAGTCAACTGTGCCGTTACTTGCAGTGTCTCCTCCATCGCACCCCGCAGTCGCTTGACGACATGTGGGCATTCTATTACAATTTCTTAACTGAGTGGCACGGCAAAGGCAGACGTGACGAAGTAGGTCTGAAGCATAAGAAGGAGGCATTTGAGAATGCTGTCAACGCAGCGAATTTCAAACGTGAATATGAAGGCTTAAAGGTGCAGTCTATCTTGTCAACTAGTCACACATCAAAATCCATGGGACATCCCAACGGTGATCTCTTCAGCCTTATTTGCAATTCAAAGCTGCGCGGCAAATGCGGTCCATATTTGCATTCGCTTACCAATGATATCGCTGGCATATACTCAAAGAAGTATGCTGGCAGATATTTATCATGGATTGTTTACCTCACGCAGACATTCTACAGCTTACTCCAAAGTCTCTACGAGGAGTGCAATAGAACATGTGGCGGTGATAAGGCAAGATGCCGTATTGCCAAATGCCCACAGAACTGCAATTTTAATGACAAATCGTCAATCGCAAATCACGATGCCGGTTGCAGTTCTATTATACAGTGCAAGAGTACGTCATCGGTATTATGCAGATATGGATTCATGTTGTCGGATCGGAAGACGCTGAGTGGCACAGATAGGAAACGAACGTGCAACGATTTCTGCAGCGTGCTAAAGAAAGTACTGGACGGGGAATCTGTTCTTGTCAAACTATTCAATGCTATAGATGAATTCATGAAAGAGATCAGATGGCCATTTATGCTAACGTTATTAGCCCTCTGGTCGCTCTCGCTCCTGTACCTGCTGCACATCGCCGTCGTCCGCCTCGACGTCCTGAGGATACGCTCCCACCTGCGCTCGCCCTCATCGCACCGCATCGCCGCGCAGTCACTGCTCGCCGCCGCGCGCGTTGGGAAAATAGTCAATTTCAAGTACTTCTCACCATAATCGTGCCTTCACGTGTGATCTGTGTATCACTCACCCACTCACCCACTCAACCACTCAACCACTCAACCACTCACATACTCACTCACCCACTCACCCACCCACTCACCAACTCACCCACTCACCCACATACTCACCCACTCACTCAACCACTCAACCACTCACTCAACCACTCAACCACTCAACCACTCACTCAACCACTCACATACTCACTCACCCACTCACCCACCCACTCACCAACTCACCCACTCACCCACATACTCACCCACCCACTCACCACTTTCACTGGTCGCTTCGTTCCCTCCTCCATCACCCCTCCTTCACCTCCTCCGTCGGCGTCCTTCACCCAAATCCTCATTTTCCACTTTCCCCTCCACCCCTTAATCCCCTTACCTCAACCCATCTTTCTCCTCCATCGCCCTCCTGCGCCCCCTCACTTCCCTCGCCCTGTCCGCCCACCTCCCTCGCTGCCTCGCTGCCTCCTTGACCTAATACACCTTTCTCAAAAAATTCTAATTTTCTCCAAAAGTGTCCCATTTCACCTCCTCTAATTGTCCTCTAACCTTTTTTCCCACTTTCTTTTCTCACCTCTTTGACCTCCCTTCTCGGCCTCCTTCGTCGGCCTCCATCGACTGGTTGATACAGGTTAAGCATGGTGGTGATACGAAGGGTATTGAGCATTTGGCCAAAGCTTTGAAAAAGTTGATTGGTGGTGCCATTAAAAACGCAACTGAGAGTCTTGAAAAGAGGAAAGAGCAACTTGAGTGCCCTAAAAATTCCAAGTTTTGTAATGAGAAGAAGACTCAAATTGAGGAGAAGCAACATGAAATTAACAAAGCTTCAGAAACTTCTGCCGACAAAGCTAAAAAGGAATCCGAAATATCTAAGCTTAAATCCGACAAAGAAAAACATTATAATGAAGTTCATTACCTTACTGAGGATGCCAGAGAGAAGGCTTTGAAAGATATTACTGAGCGGCAGACTAAGCTTGCTGAACTTCAAAAAAAACTTGAAGCTTTTATTGGCACAAAAGATGGTGATAATCCTGCAACAGAAATTCTTAAAAATCTGTGTTCAGGTTTAGAAAAGTTTTTAGGCTTCAATTCAGAGTCCAAAGGCTACTCGGGAGAAGGAATTGTGTACTCGGACCTTGACAGGCTCTGCGACGGGGTGATGTCTTTCCTTCATGGTGTTTTACATAACATTCAGCCTAAATTAGGCCAGCATAAAGACACTTTAGATAGCGCACTTAACTCACTTAAAGACACAAATGATAATGGTATTACTAAATACAGGGCGGCGATAGCCGCGGTGGCCAGTGGTGTACGTGCATATAATGAGAGTGTGGCAGCGTCGAATGAGAGTGTTAGTGATGTAATTACTACATTGCGTGATAGTGTTGATGCTTCATTTGTACGCACTGTAGAAGCAGTCTTACAAGAAAGGCGTGATGCAAGAGGTAATATAATAGAGCACACTGAGCGTGACGTCACCGATGCCGAAAGGCAAATTAATGAGAAACTTCAGCAATGTCAAAAAAATGCTACGACATTTGTCACTAATTTAGACACTTCACGTAGCACACATAAAGATGCAATTGACGACCTAAATGCTAATTTAAAAGATAAGCTTGAGAACGTGCGTGTGACTGTGCAGTATGAGAGTGCGCGGTTGGGGAGGGTGAAGGGGTATGAAAGTGAACGGTTTACAAAGGTGGAGAAAGAGATTAAGAGGGTGTTGGAAGCGATGAAATGCAGTGTGGATAAAAGTGTTAGTGCTGACATAACAAGAATTCTGGGTGAGTTGAAGCAGAGAGTCACTAAATTTTTGGAAGAACTGCATAAACTCAGTAGGGACCTTGGGCAGTATGTCATAGAGTTGGAAAGTTGGATTAGAGAAACGCAGCAACTTATTGACGGGATCAAGAATAAGGGTTTAGATAATATATTAAATGAAGTGAACGACAGTCTTACAAGTAAGAAGCTTGACATCAAAGACGCCGTGGACAAGGACCTTAAAAACTGGAAAGGCAAGCTGGAGGGTTATATTCAGCAGCTGACGCAGTTGACTGGAGAAGTTGATGCGAAGGTTACGGCGCTTGCTTCAAAGTTTCCTAAAAATGCCGGCGGGGAATTTTGTAAGAGTATCAATGAGATTTTCGGGGAGATAAAGGGCAAAGCTGTTATGATAAAAAGTGGAGTATTGGGAACTGATGTCCACGGTACTGGTATTGTGCATAATTGGAATCAAATTAAGCAGACCATTGGGAGTAGTGTTCATGCAATTCATAATAAGGATATAAATCCCAAACCTGGTCATCTAGATAAAATTGTTGAGGCCGTTAAGGGGTATGCTGAGGGGTTCACTAGATACTTCGAACAGAAAATTGGCGAGATGGTTGATAAGATTGCAGATAGCGGTGCGGTTAGTGGTAAAATTACTGACTACGTTGTTGCAATCAGAAATAATAATGAGCTAAGTGCCACGAACAAAAAGGTCAAAATGGCAATAAAAACTCACATTGTAAAGATTGCAGAGGGAATTCAGAATCCCGTTAATAAGATGGACGTCGAAAAAACTCTGGAAAGTATCCAAGGTTATCTTGGGGGATACGCTGCGGCGGTGAAGAGAAAGCGTGATAGTGACATAGTTGCATTCATCGGGGATATAAAAGGCGATAATGCAATAACGGCAATTTCCGGTCTAAAGCTTACTGCCGATGACACAAATCTCAAATTAGCCGTTCAAAGCACCCTCACTGCGGTGTCGGAGGCGGCTGACGAAGCGGGTAGACAAGTTGGAAAGTTCATGAATGACATTGAAATTAAGCAATTGTCCAGCGCCATAGCAGCCGCCAACAATATTAAAGTTCAGCTCGACGGCGCTGATTTGACGATCGATGCGCCATTGCAGCGCTTGGAGGAACCAATTACATACCTCCACACCAACGTCAACTCGGCGCTTCAAGATCCCACCCAAACCAACCACGCCGCCAACCTGGACCAGGCGATCACAGACGTAAAGGACAGAGTCGCCGAAGTAGCCGCCAACGCAATCCCACAAAAGCTGGAAGGAGTTGCTCAAAAAATCAAACATCATCTCGAAACGCTTGCCGATGCAGTTTCTAGAACCACCAATGATGTGAGGCTGAAACTTGCTGAGTTGCAAAATGAGAAGATCGGTAACGCTTCGAGAACCGGTGACGTTAAAGCAAATACATTGCAAGATCTTCGACGGAAACTTAATGAACTTCACAAAAGTCTGGAGTCTGATCCCATTAAAAACGCCGATGAGTTTATAAAATACGTCACCGCTGCCGAAACTCATTACATCGATGAACTCAAACGTCATACCAAAAAGGCAGCGGACGATGCGTGCAACCAACTCACCACCCACGCGCGCAGGCAGTACGTCGAGGCCCTCAAGTTCGCGCTCCGGCAGTTCGCCGACAAGGTGACGGAGGAGCTGGAGCCTTTACCAGGCATGTTCGAAAACGACAAGCACATCGGCCTGAAAGGGTTCATGGAGGCGTTTTATGGCAATGACGCCGGCGACAATATTAACAAGCTTAAAGATGGCATCGATCTCCGGACTGTCTGCCATGGCTTCGAAAAATTCCTGGGACCCCTCAACACATATATCAGCAGGGAAATAGATCGCGTTAAGGAGGAGGAACACAAGAAAAATCCTTCACTGCAGAAATACCAAGACCCGTATAGCAAACAGCTTAATAATATATACTCCAAACTTAGCACAGTAATTGGTCACATTATTACAAAAAATCACTACGATAACAACTTACCCACTAAGCTTGCTGAACTCACTGCCACACTTTCCGACCTGAAACTAGACGGCTTCCCCAACCCGGTCACAGTAATGCTGGGCGGCATCTCCGGTGGCTGTCGGCAGTTGGTCGAAGTGCTTGGCAACGTGTACATCTCCAAGTACGACGGCCAGACGATTGAGTGGGAGAAAGCCGACACCAGCAAAAAATCTGCAACTAAAGATGCCACTGAAAATAAGATTCCGACGGAAAATGCCAACAGATGTGCTAAGGTGTTCCTCACTTGTATGTACACCCTTTTCGATAAGTTGCATCACTTGTTCTATAATGGCGGTAGTAAATGGAGCCAACTGAAGATTGATGGCAGTACGTCCGGAAGGGACAAATATTACCTGAAGAAATATCTGATGGAAGAAGGCTTCGAAATTCAAAACCTTATCACCAAGGAGAACACTGGTAAGGTTGTTGCCTTCAAATTGAGCGTAGGCTTTACCGCTTACCAATCATTTAACACAGATCCAGGAAAATTAGGATCTTACAACGATTACTTAGCTCATTTCAAAAAGCACGAAGGTCTTTTATCCAGACTCTTCGAACACCTGGAGACGTACAATGAAGTGTGTCACTTCGCCACGTTCTCTTCCACGAAACATCCTTCTTCCATTTACGAAATGCTTGCGTGGTTCTCAGGCCTCCCGTACAGTTCCGTGTATGACTCTTTGCTCCACGACGTTTTGCCGTCGCTGCTTGAAGGTCCAAGTAAGAAGCCCGCAGACGACGATGAGATTGAAGTGACAGATCTCGGCGAAGAATCATTTGACGCCTATCCGCAACCAATAACATACAGTAGTTTAGCAACGTCTCTCAACGATGTCTGCGCACAATCCTATGACGTATTGACCGGTGTCCTCGGATACGGTTACGCAGGCGGTGTCTACGCCTGTGATCATTCCAACAACACTCTTAACCTAGCATATCCTAGCAGTGCCAATGCCTGCTTAGGTATGATGGTAGATATAATGAATAGACTTTTCTCTCAACTTTATTTCCTGCTTACACAGTGTTCACACAATACCGATTACAGCGGTTGGTCAAACTGCTCGTACGGTCAGGGTGTCGGCAACTCTGGATGGCAATGCAATGACAACCTATGTGCCAACCAAACGTGTCCCCAAAAGGCTAACCACGGTACTAACCAAAAGTGCAACCAACATCCCAAGTGCGGTGTAAAATCGCCACTTCAGTCATTTTTGGAAGATGGTCTCCCGGGCTTTTTGCCTCATACATTTTCCAATGTTGGCTGCGGAGTGAAATGCTCAGTTGGCAATCACTTTGGTAAAACATGCCTAACTCCAATGGGTTTTACTGATATTAGTATTAAAGCGTCACACACGAAAGAAGGGGAGTATCTCCAAAAGGTGCTTAAGGAATTCTGTGGCAAAGCAGAGAGCCCACTCACCAAGCTGTGTAGCCAGCTAAATTGTCTCTTGCCTACCACTCCTAAAACACTCGGCGATATGTTTAGTTTCTATCACAATTTCCTTAATGAGTGGAACACCAAGACGGAGCATAAGCGAGACGCGTTTGCAGCGGCAGTTAATAAAGCCAATTTCGAGAAGCGATACAAAGGTTTCGATCCGGCTATAATGTTCGGTAACCCCAAGCATTCACATAAGCAGGTGAACGCCGACCTCAGCAGCCTGGTCTGTGTCTCGACAACGACGCAAACGTGCGGTCCCTATTTGCAGTCAATTAATCATGACGTTATCGGCACATTCTCCAAGAATCACGCCGGTCAATACCTTTCGTGGATTGTCTACATGACTGAGACTTTCTATGACCTGCTCAAAAAATTATATGACGACTGCTGTGCAACGTGTGGCGGAGACTATCCAAAATGCCGTGTTGCTCGTGGTCAACATACTTGTAATACTGCCAATCAGCCAGGCTCCGACAATGACAGTGACACATGTAACTCAATTGTTAGCTGCCAGCATACACGTCCAACCATATACAAATATGGCTTCGTACATAATGACGTAATAAGCCTTGCCGGTAAAAAAAGTAAGAAATCATGTAAGGATTTCTGCGACGCACTGAAAAAAGTTCTTAACAACGAAGAGAAAATAGGAGCGACGCTTGCAGTATTAATTTATAAGACAATTCCCAATTTCTTATGGAAGATCAGAGAACCTTTCTCCCTGACGTTGTTAGCCCTCTGGTCGCTGTCGCTCCTGTACCTGCTGCACATCACCGTCGTCCGCCTCGACGTCCTGAGGATACGCTCCCACCTGAGATCGCCCTCAAGCCACCGCATCGCCGCGCAGGTCCTCATCGTGCGCCGCATCCCAGGCGCTCGTGACGTCAAGTACTTCTCACCATAATCGTTCTTCAGTTGGATCTTGGTGTATCACCCATCGCCCGCCCACTCGACCCGCCGCCCACCCGCTCATCGACCAACCATCATCTACCGCCGCTATCATCGCCCCTCCTCGCCCATCGATACGCCGCCACCGCTCGCCCGCCCATCGACCGCCCGCCCATCATCGCCCATCATGCCCATCGACCCATCGGCCATCACGTATCGCGCCTTGCCCGCTCATCGCCCGCTCCTTGCCCATCTTACCCGCCCTCATCATGGTATCGCCCATCGATGGTTCAAATAAATCAATCAATCGATTCGCCCGCCCTGTTAACCATTTATCATCGGTCGCCCATCGCTGTTCGCCCGCTCATCCATCGCGCGCCCGTATCGCCTGTTGCGCCCTCGTCCATCACGCCCATCGCTTGCGCCATCGGCCATCGACCATCGCATATCGCGCCCGCCGCCCATCGATGCGCATCGCCGCCCATCGATTCGCCCGCCCATCGATATCGCGTATCGCGCCCGCCGCCCATCATCGCCCGCTCGCGCGTATCATCGCTAAGCTATCCGCTCATTCGCAGGTCATTTTCGCCTTCATCATCATCGCATCATCGGATCGGTCATTCGCCCAAAATACTTAATTTCCAAAAAATTCCTTTGACCCCTAATATCCCCTCTCCTCAACCCATCTTCCTCCTTCATCGCCCTCTTTCGCCCCTTCACTCCCCTCGCCTTGTCCACCCACCTCCCTCACTCCCTCGCTGCCTCCTTGACCTAAAATCGCCTTTCTCAAAAAATTCTAAAATTCTCCAAAAGTGTCCATTTCACCTCCTCTAATTGTCCTCTAACTCTTTTCCCCACTTTCTTTTCTCACCTCTTTTGCCCTCCCTCCTTGGCCTCCTTCGTCGGCCTCCATCGACTGGTTGATCCAGGTTAAGCATGGGAATGGTAATGGCAAGGGTCTTGGGCCTTTGGCTGAGGCTTTGAAAAAGTTGATCGAGGATGCTATTGAGAGCGCTACTAGGAGTCTTAAAAGTAAAGAAGATGAACTTAAATGCGCTGATAAAGGCTCTGATGGGCTATATGGCAACTATTGTAATACGCTTCAAAAGAAAATTGAAGACGAGAAAGATGGATCTCAAAAATCTAGACACCAATCTGACTTGAAGAAACATTACTCTGATGTACATTCCTCTGAGGATAAAAGAAGGGGCGCTTTGGATGATATCGATGCCCGTCGTATCTCTCTTGGTACGCTTGCTGGACAACTTATGGGTTTTATTGGCAGTGGACAGGAAGTTAAAGATGCATTGTTGAAGGGTTTGCACAGTAACGTAAGTCAGCTTGAAAAGCTTTTAAATGCATCTTGCGGAGGAGAGGGGTGTTGTAAGAACAAATTGCCTGGGATTGAGAAACTTAAGGAAACGAAAAGCTCTGATGAAAATAATGTTGAAAGGCAATTCAATGGCCTTCAACCTAAATTAAGTGAGATAGAAAAGGAAATTGCTGAAAACATTAGCAAGCTTAATACTACAATTCAGCGTTTTGAGAGTGAAAAGACCGCTAAAAAAGATGCTTTCTCTGAGAAGGATTCTAAATCCCTTAACTCTCATCAGTCATCCATGAAGTCTCTTGAGACACTGAAAGAGCTTTGTCAATTTGCTAATTCACTTACTCAAAATCAACAAAACAATCCACGTGATTTACTTGAAAGCCTGTGTTCAGGTCTCCAAACATTTTTAGGGTACAATGAAAAATCCAAAGGCTACGATGGCTCCGGCATCGTGTACTCGGACCTTGACAGGCTGTGCGACGGGGTGATGGCGTTTTTGCATTCCGTTCTCAAAGATGTCCACGATAAACAGCCTTACAATGTTGGTAAAAATATATTACGTGATAATGTTTTGAGCCATTTTAATGGTAAATTATGTTCAGGTCATAATGGTTTTAAGAGTGTCATTGGCCAGGTGGCCGATGGTGTCGGGAGGTATAATAGGGAAGTGGAGAGGTCTAATAGGGATGTCAAGACAATTATAACTGGGATGAAGAGCAAGATGGAGAGTCTTCGAGATCAGGTGAGTGGAATTTTAAATGATCATTCTGATGCAGGTACGCTGAAAGGCTTTACGCCGGAGGAAGTCGAGAAGGTTGAAGCTGCTGTGTCCACGGCGGAGGAGTTGGCAAAGGAGTATGCTAAGAATGGTGCGTATTTCGAGAACAATTTCTACGATAGGAAGAGGGGATACAGAAGTTCTACAGCCGAACCGACACAGCAATTCAAGGACTTGAATCCCGCATTACGTGACAAAATCAACAGTGCCATAGAGAACATTTCGTACGAAGGTGCAAGGCTCACGGAGATGTCGGCACAGGAAAAAGAGAAGTTGGCCGCGACGACGGAGAAGATTAAGAAGACTATGAAGAATTTACAAAATTGCGTGGATAATAATGTAGGTGAGAAAGTAAATGCGCTGTGTAAGAAGGTGAAGGAAAGGCTTCAGAAGATCTTGGAACAGCTTAAGAAAATTAATAAGCAGCTTTCCAACTATGTTGCCGAATTGGATAGGTGGATTAAAAGTGCGGACGGAATTGTCGGAGGTACAATAAACGAAACTAAAAAAATTATGGATAAAGGCCATGTTGCATGGCCGCTGGAGGATAAGATTAAGGGCGACGTTGACAGCTTGAAGGATAAGGCTTTAGAGCTTTATGGGCATTTTACCGTCGCGAACCAGGAGGTTGAAAATCTGGTCAAACAAGCCCTCGAGGCCGTGAAAGCGATGGACGCGGAGCTGAAGCAGGATTTGTTTGGGGTGAGGGGGGCGATAAATAATGCTATTAAGGAGTTGGCGAAAACGTTGGAAGGGAATGTGAAGAGTGATTTGGGAGTGTTGGAAGGTGGGATTAGGAGCGCGTTGACGGAGCATGTTAAGAAGGTGCTGCAAAAAATTCAGGAGAGTGTTGGGAAGATTAAGGGTCCCGGCAATGTTGGCAAAAAAACAGGACTTGAAGCCGTCAAGTTGAAGGTGGCGGAGCTTACTAGGGCGTTCGTTAATAACGGCCGTGATGCTGGTTTCACTTATAGAGTTGATGGGTGGTTAGATGGAATTTTGGGGAAGGATAAGGGGAGTGGAATGGAATCTGTGAAAACGTGTATTACCAAGTACGTTGAGGAGATTACGCAGCTTGGGAAAACCGATGTAGATGAGAACAAAGTGAAAGAAGAAATGAAAAGGTATATTAAAAACCAGCTTGATACAGACAACGTTATTAAGCCAGCTCAGGGGAAGATTGATGAAGTAAAGGATACAATTGACGAAAATAACATCACAAAGAATCTGGAAGCTATAAAGGAGGCTTGCGAGGAGTTTGTCAAGAAACTTGATGAGAAGATTAAGAATGGAGAAAATGCTGACATTGTCACCAACATAGTTGGCACAATTCAGACTGGGTTCCAACTCCGTGACAAATATGCCAGCAGAGCACCTCTCAGATCCGCCGTCCATACAACGCTCATTGCTCTCTGTAGCTCCGTGAAACAAGTTGCCACGGAATTAAATTCCTTTGCCCTCGTCAACTCAAAGAAGCCCGAAATTGAAAGCATTGCGGAGAACGTAACATCTTCTTTGGCAGATGCCGGTACGCTCGACAGTCAACTTGGACAGGCCACTAACGGACGCGGCTCGGGTCCGGGCAAGGTGCTCAGCACCGAGAAGACTGTTGAGCTCGCCCACTACAATGCTGAAACGTACATTGAAGCGGAGCTAAAGCAGAAGTTTCCTGGTAGCAATGGCGCTGCAGCCCTCCGCGCCGCTACAACACCTGAATATCAGTTTGGCGACAAACTCATGTCCAATTTCCACGACACCCACAAGAAGCTCCTTAAAGGCCAGATAGCAAGCGCCACCACTGGTGTAAGTCACACTGACGACGTGCTCGAGCAGCAGTTGAAAGAGGCAAGTGGAAGTAAAGTCAACATACAAAATTCTGAAGGCTTCCGCCTCTACAAACAGCAAGTCGACCAATCTAAAGTCGACGGTGACCCCGATACCCTTGCAGGCGCCCTTCCAAACAAGATCAAGGAAATCAAGACGCAGGTGGAGAATGCTGTAAAAGATATTGAAGAGCGAAAAAAAGAGGCTGATGGAAAAGTCGACGAAGTTAGGAAAACACTTACTGCTCTGTACGATGCCGTCAAAGAAGTTGGCGGAAATCTCAAAAGCAATTTAACAACTTTGAGAGATACAAATATTCGGAAAAATCTGGATGGCATCAAAAAGCAACTTGAGAATCTGAAGGAGTTGGAATTGAAAACTGTCATCCAGGACGTCGAGAGGTTCATGAAAAGTCTCGACTCATCCCTGGAACCTACAATCCAGCTGCTAGGAAACCATGTTAGAGATGAGGTTGCGTCAGCCGAAAAGACTCTCATCACCCATGCGCGGAAACAATACGTTAACGCCGTAAAGTTCCTGCTCGAGAAATTCGCGGACAGAGTCACCGAGGAACTGCGATCGTTGCCAGAACAGATTAAGAAAGATTTGGCAATTGGACACAAAGGCTTCATGGAGAAGATATACGATCACTTCATTACGAGAGTCCAAAGAATCAATGAAGTTGATCCTGACAAATTTACAACAACAGAATCTCCACTGAACCAGGCGGCGAAAAAACTAAATGGCGCATTAAGTTTATTTTTCATCAAGTTCAAGCAACAGGAGGATTTCACGTCCGACTCCGCAAAAATTCGGTCTCCGCAAAAGGCTCTTGACAGAGTGCTTACAGGCCTCTGGGCATCCAATCATTTCGACAACAAATTTTCTAATAATTTGGATGCACTGAATGATACGTTAGCTACATTCAATCCTAAGACATACGGTGAGGGAAAGTATCCTTATATTCTCGAGTCGTTTAAAAAAGGCTTCTCGGCATTATTCACGAAGCTGGAGCACGCGTACGTGAACGCTTACAGCGGTATGAAATTCACTAGATTGTTAGCACCTAAAAAAGTGGATATGTCGGAAAATGTTCCCGATCCACAACGTCCCGCCTCAAATGTTGTTTCCACCTCCGGTCAACTGTCTGATCCCAGCCGAACAAGGCGTTCCGCTCCCGCCGCCAGCAGTCCTGTTCCCAGCACTCAGCCAACAGCTCCCCCCGTCTCTGGCCAAAAGGCCGAGACAGAGTATGAGTTAACACCCGAGGGCCGCGACTGCGCAAAGGTCTGTGTCACCATTATGGAGCGAGTGAAAAATCATCTGTTTGTTTTGGAAAGAGAATGTAACTCTGGTGGCAGGTGGCGCCATAATAGTATTCGTTTGTATGATCATACAAATGGCAGGAAAACTGAGAACCCGCTTGGCACATGGCTGAGGGACCACGGCTTCCGAGTGCCGTCCGAGGAGGGAAAGCAAGATGGCGAATTGCGGAATAACCTTGGCTTCACCGGGCATAAAATGAAAACTACACTGCTTGACCACAATATTCCCGGCGCTTCTCAGGTTCGATCCCTACTTGACTGGGTGACTGAGGAGAGGCAAAATGCTTCTCCGGGCAGCAAAAAGAGTGTCACAGTAATCGACGTCTTCGACATTGCCCACTGCCTCCGCGACATTTTCAGGAAATACTATGAAGTATGTCACCATGAGCGTGTCGATTCGCCTAGGGCACCATCTAACATCTACGATATGCTCCAGTGGCTCTCTGGGTTGTACTTTAATCCGATGTATGAGAAACTGAAGGGGCACCTTAGGACATTGTTCCCCAAGCCCTTAAAAGATGATCCCAGAGATTACAAGGACATTCCCGCGAAGGACTTGAAACTGGAAGCGTATCCGAAGACAATCACGTATGACGACTTGAGCGATGAACTGCTGCAAAGTGTTTGCATATACGCCCAAGATGCGTTGATCGGCATACTGGGCCACGGTCACTCGGGCGGAATTTACGCCTGTGACTTTTTCACAAATGCACATAAGTTATCGTATCCTACTAGCGTCGGTTCATGCTTTGACATGCTCTTAGACATAGTATTTAAAGTGCAACATCAACTTCATTTTGTATATAAGCAGTGTTGCGATACAACAGCGCTCAGCGGTTGGCGTGACTGTGTATACGGCAACGGAGTTGGTGGCTCTGGATGGCAATTCAATCGGCTCCAATGCCCTAACCAAAAGGCCGAACAAAACGCTGACCAAATAGGTAACCAAACACATAAGCAAACATGTACCCAAAAGTGTGACCAAACTGTTAGTTGTGGCCTTAAGTCGCCGCTCCAATCCTTTTTGGAGGACGGTTTGCAAGGGTTCTTGCCGCACCATATGACGAAAGTTGGCTGCGGAGTTAAGTGCTCCGTCGGCAGCCACAGAGGTCAACCGTGCAAAACGCCTATGGGCTTTGGAGACATAAGCGTAACGGCCTCTCATGTCAAAAAGGGAGCTCACCTTGCCGGCGTTCTTGACAGTTTCTGCGGTCCTACATCCCACCTAAGTAGGTTGTGTCGTAAGCTGAATTGCCTCCTTCGTAGAGCGCCACAAACTCTTGGTGATATGCTTGCCTTTTACCACAAATTCCTATATGAATGGAACGGACAGGGTCGTGTGCACAGGCAGGATGCATTCTTGCAGGCTGTTAATGACGCAATTTTCGGCGAACAGTATGGAAAGTTGGACGTTGTATGCATACAATCCAGCAGAACGCACACTGAGAAACATTCCAAAGGTGATCTATTTAGTTTGGTGGACTGTCATACGTCTCCAACAGTGAATGCTCCCGTCGGTTCCTGCGGTCCATATTTGGAGTCAATTAGTAATGACATCCGCCGAACATTCTCCGAAACTCGCGCTTCGAACTATCTTTCATGGATCGTTTATATCACGGAGACATTTTACGATCTACTCAAAATGTTATATGATGAGTGCAACAAATGTTGCGGCACTGATAAGTCGAAGTGCCGTGTTGCAAAATGTGCAGTAAATTGTAATGTCGGCAAACAGGCATCTACATACAATCACGATGATTCATGTAACTCCATTGTAAATTGCAGCTATACCACGCCTACATTATTTAAATATGGATTCGTTCATGGGGATGCTCTGATACTTGCTGGTAAGAGGAGCAAACGTACGTGCAGAGAATTTTGCACGGCCCTGGGAAAAGTGATCAGCGACAAAATATCAGACGAATCGCCACTCGCAAAATTAATTTACATTACTATTCCAGAATATATATGGGCCATTCGTACACCCTTCTCCTACCTCTTGTTAGCCCTCTGGTCCCTCTCTTTGCTCTACCTGCTGCACATCACCGTCGTCCGCCTCGACGTCCTGAGGATACGCTCACACCTGCGCTCGCCCTCAAGCCACCGCATCGCCGCGCAGTCACTACTCGCAGCGGCAAGAGTCAAGGCACTCGCCAACGTCAAGTACTTCTCACCATAATCGTGCCTTCACCCACTCACCCACTCACCCACTCAACCACTCACCCACCCACTCACTCAACCACCCACTCACTCAACCACTCACCCCCCTCCTTCACTGGTCGCTTCGCTCCCTGCCATCACCCCCTCCATCACCTCCTCCGTCGGCGTCCTTCGCCCAAATCTTCAATTTCCAAAAAATTCCTTTGACCTCCAAAACCGCCTTACCTCCACCCATCGTCCTCCTCCGTCGCCCTCTTTCGCCCCTTCACTTCCCTCACCCTGTCCACCCACCTCCCTCACTCCCTCGCTGCCTCCTCCACCTAAAATCGCCTTTCCCCGAATTCCCCCAAATCCCCTCAAAATGTGCCTAAAATATTTCTTCAACATTTCTCAACTTCTTCACTTTCCTCTTGTTAGCCCTCTGGTCGCTGTCGCTCCTCTACCTGCTGCACATCGCCGTCGTCCGCCTCGACGTGCTGAGGATACGCTCCCACCTGCGCTCACCCGCAAGCCACCGCATCGCCGCACAGTCCCTCCTCGCCGCCGCACGCGTCAGGGCACTCGCCAACGTCAAGTACTTCTCACCATAATCCTGCCTTCACGTGTGATCTGTGTATCACCCACCCACTCAACCACTCAACCACTCACCCAGATACTCACTCACCCACCCACTCACCCACTCACCCACTCAACCACCCACTCAACCACCCACTCACTCTCTCACTCACCCACTCACCTCCCTCCTTTCACTGGTCGCTTCGCTCCCTCCTCCATCCTCCCTCCATCGCCTCCTACGTCGGCGTCCTTCACCCAAATCCTCATTTTCCACTTTCTCCCTCCACCCCTATAATCGCCTCCGAAATCCCCTTATTTCAACCCATCTTCCCCCCTCATCGCCCTTTTTCGCCCCTCCACCTCCCTCACCCTGTCCATCCACCTCCCTCGCTGCCTCCTTCACCCTAAAATCGCCTTTCTCCAAATTCCCCCAAATCGCCCTAAAAATGTGCCTAAAATAATCCTTCAACAACATTATTAAATAACCTCTGCACAGGCCTCGAAAAATTTCTCGGCTACAGTAATGGTAATTACACCGGAGAGGGCATCGTGTACTCGGACCTTGACAGGCTCTGCGACGGGGTGATGTCTTTCCTTCATGGTGTTTTGCATAACATTAAGCCTATATTAGGCCAGCATAAAACACATTTAACTAGCGTACTTACATCACTTAACAACAAAGATAATAATGGTATTACTAAATACAAGGCGGCGATAGCCGCGGTGGCCAGTAGTGTACATACATATAATGAGAGAGTGGAGCGTTCGAATTCTATGGTGAGCACGCCGATGAATGTGTTGATTAGGTACGTCAGAAATCGAGGTGAGTTACTTGGTAGCATTAATAGGTTTCAGATAACGGAGGACGCTGACCGCCATGTGGTTGACGAGGCTGAGAAGATGATTAATGAGCAGCTTGACGAATGTAAAAAAAATGCTGCAAAATTTAATGACACTTTAGACACTGAAACACAAATGGAAATACGTAATATCATTAGTGAGCTTAATCCCACATTGTCGCTTAACGTTAAGAGTGCCTTAAAGGCGGTGAAGCATGAGACTAGGAGGCTCGGTGAGCTGTCTGAGAAAGAAAAAACAGACTTACAAGCGGTGACTGCTAAAATTACTGACGTCCTTGAAAGCGTTAAAGAAAGTGTGAATTGCAAAATCGACGAGAAAATAAAGGCGCTAGCCGCTGAGTTGAAAAAGAAAGTCGATGATATTTGGCATCAGCTCAAGGGGATTGACAGCTTGTTGATTAAGTATGTTAAGCAATTAAAAAGTTGGATGGAAGCAGCTAAAAGTTTTATCAAGGATCATCCACAGCAAAAGGCTCAGCACATATTAAAGGAAGTGAAATGGGATGAAAAAAATAATCCGGAAGCGAAAAGGAACAATATTGAAAACGCTGCGATAGATCTGAATACCAAGGCGCAGAAACTGTTGGACGCTGCTGAAAAAGCCAAGACAGAAGTTAAGAAATTGGTGACTGAGGCACTGGAAGGTGTGAAAACGATGGACGGCGAGCTGAAGGAGGATTTGTATAAGGTGAGGGGGGCGATAAAAACGAAGGTGGATGCTATTACGGAGAGGATTGGGGAGCTTGGGAAGCAGTTTGAAGGTTTAACCAGCGATGACGATCAGAAGAAGTTTGATAAGATTATTGGAGAAATTCAGGGAAAACTAGGAAAAATTAATGGAGGTTCAAGGAATCCAACAGGTCTTGGTGGCATTGAGGGTGGAGTGCAGGGGTATTCATGGAATTTCAAAAAGGGCCAACAAGAGTTCGACAAAATGGTTGAATCGTGGATAAAAGACATTCTAGATGAGAATAGTGTGGTTAGGGCGTGGCTTGGAGAATATTTTAAGGATACATCTAAGTTTCAGTCACCATATAATCAGTGGAAGAAGGATGGAGAAAATAAGGAGCGTACTAAGGATATTGCAGCCGCAATTAGGGATGCGCTTACGAAAAATGTTAAGGGGGCATTCGAAGCCTTCGACAATCTGGACCCTCAAAATAGAATTCAAGAAAATCTGCAACTTGTAAAAAAGACTTGCGAAACGTTTGCCAGTAAGCTTAATGAGAAGATTGAGGCAGAAGAAATTATTTACAGTGGTACCAACAATTCGTTTATTAAAAGCATTGTAGACGCTATTGCGCACCGTGTATTAAATGGGTATGATCCCAAACATACAAATATGACTGATAACATCAATCTCAAGCGCGCCGTAACGGCCACACTCAACGCCCTCCATTGTTCCGCCAGGCAAGTTGCCAAGGCACTTCAGTCGTTCGCTCTCGAGCCTAGGGTGGGCAACAGCCAGCCTAAAAGCAATATCCTAGCCAAAATAGATGAGGCTAAGAGTAAGGCTGAGGAGCTGCACGGGGAAGTTAAAAAAGCGCTCGGCATTGGCACCACGGACAACCACGCCAAAAACGTCGACGATGCGATCAAGGCGGTGAGCACTGAACTCAACAAGCAGTTGAAAGACGGACCAAGTGGCTCAAATAAAGTTGACATTCAAGGTTCCGAAGGTTTCGAAAAATACAAACAGCAAGTCGACCAAGATAAAATTGACTCACTTGGCGACAACATCGACAACCTTGAAGGCGCCCTTCCAGAGAAGATCAAAAATATTAAAAATACCGGCCTCTCCACTCTTAACATCATCAATCCGGGCGCCATTTCTAATGGCGATAAAATAGAAAAGAAAACTTTCGAGGATCAGTTGAAGAAAGTCACGCAAAATCTCGACGCTCTTTGCCGGGAAGTCAAACTTGCAGCTGAAGACGTCAACGGGAGTTTGGAAGTTTTGAAGAATGATAATATCGACAAAAAACTTAAAGACATTCATGATAAGCTAAACATCCTGCAAACCAGCGATTTGACCAAAGCCATCAAGGCCACTGAGACATTTCTTACTTTAGAACTCGGACTCTTCTCCAGCCGATGCATCGCCTCACTGGAAGGCGACGTCAGACAACAGATCGATGATGCAAAAAAGCAACTGACCACCCAGGCTAAAAAGCTCTACGTCAACTCTATTAAGGAGTTGTTGTTGGCATTTGCCAGCAAAGTCAGCGAGGAACTAAGAAGGCTGCCGCGAGAAATTGCCGGCGATTTGGAGATTGGCCACAAAGGATTCATGAAGAAGATGGAAGAGAGATTTATTAAGACGGCTAAAAGAATTGCAAACGTTTCGCCAACGCAATCCCCTGCAGCGCTTCCCAATCCGGGTTCACCGGAGAAATCCAGGAACAGACCAAAATCTCCGCTCAGCCAAGCGGCTATGACATTAAACACCGCATTCAGACTCTTCTTCGATGACCTGCAAAATCAACCGGACTTCAAGTCCGACTACGATAATGTTGCGCCTTGCAGGGATGCTCTCACAGCATTGCTGAATGGGATTGTAGGTTCACTGCGCTTTAACCATGACTTTAGTGTTAATCTAGAATTACTTAGCAAATCACTCAGCGGCTTGAATCCAGAATCACACGGCGAATGTGAGTGTCCTTTGCTGATTAACGCTTTGCGAGCGGGCTTCCCGGCTTTGGTCACAGAGTTGGACAAGGCGTATATGAATAAGTATGACGGTGCGTCGAAGGATTTCAAGTGGGAGGAAGGAGACAAATTGACGGATGAAGCTACGAAATGTGCAAAACTGTTCCTAACTACGCTTCCCGTCCTTAACAACAACCTGAACAAATTGACAAGAAAATGTCATGTTGATAGCCGGAGAAATTGGAGGGAGTCGCAAATTAATTTACGCGTTGACAATCCACTTGGGAAATTCTTAGCCGGCCAAGGCTATGCGGTTTCCTCGGATTATGAGAGTCAGGACGGTGAGCTGCAAAACAATGATGCTATGCGTGGACAGAAAATTTATGAACTTCTTGTCGGTTCTGCTGACAAACACGTGTACACTACACTAGACGATAAAGCGGATGAAGGCGCACTCAATAAATTCTGCAACTGCCTCCTCGACTTCTACAAAGCTTCCCACCTTAAACACATTAACGCACCTACGTACCCTACCACCATCAGTCACATGCTTGAATGGCTTTGTGGTCTCACCCATCATCCCGTCTACCAATCACTATCACTTGGTGGTTTTGCTGACTTATTCGAAAAGCCTAAGGAGCAGGACACGGACAACGCTCCTTTGGTTGTATCTTTTAACGACGATCCCGACTCATTGGACGCCTACCCAAGGAAGATCACAGCTACAGGGCTCTCACAGACCCTTGTGGAAGTATGTCACCTGGCCGAAGACACACTCATCGCAATCGTCGGACATGGCCACGCAGACGGTGTATATGCGTGCGATTACAACACGAACCGACATGGTCTATCGTATCCTACGAACATGAACACATTAATTTGTACGTTATTCGACATTCTCCAACGCCTGCACTGCCAGCTTTACTTCTTGTATAATCAATGTTATTACGGTGATATGTATAACGGTTGGCGTGAGTGTTACTACGGCAACGGTGTCGGTGGCTCCAGTTGGAAGTGTAACGATAAGCTGTGTGCTAACCAAACGTGTAACCTAAGCCCTAACCAACGCGCTGACCAAAGCGGTAACCTAAGTGCTAACCTAACACCTAACCAAATATGTGAGCACCCCAAGTGCGGCGTCAAATCGCCTTTACAATCGTTCCTAGAGGACGGTTTACAAGGCTTTTTGCCTCATACTGTATCCAGTAGGGGTAGCAGCTTGTCATGTTCTAGTTGTTCTAAGCTGTCCCCTGGTGTGCCGTGTAGAACACCCATGGGCTTTGTGGACATTAGTACTCTGGCGTCTCATACTAGTACGGGAGAGCGCATCATCAGAGCACTCCTTCGTTTCTGTGGAATCAATTCATCACCACTAAGCAATTTATGCGCTCTACTAAACTGCGTCCTCCCTCGTCCACCGCAGAGCTTAGGTGCTATGTTTGCCTTTTACTATAACTTCATTGCTCACTGGGGTCAGCCTGGAAACGCTGTATTAACCAATGCCGTTAGTGGAGCTAACTTCAAACGTAACGACGCAACCTTAGACATTGCTCCGCTATTCAAAAGCAGCGACCATACGTCCGAGGAAGAAATGACGCATCGCACCGGTGACCTTTACACCCTTGTTAACTGCAAGAGTGATTCATCTTCTCCAACCCTTCCCTGTGGCCCATATCTGAGACCACATTCTCGTGACATCTGTAGCACATTCGCCGAGAAGAATGCCGACAAGTATCTGTCGTGGATTGTATATCTGACACAGACCTTTTATGATCTCCTTAAGACGTTGTATAAGGAGTGTTGTGAAATGTGCGACAAGAGAGGAACCACATGTTATCAAAAATGCTGCGATAAAAAATGTGAAGTAATATACCCCGACGAATCTAAGAAACATACTGGGGAGTACGAGAAGGAAGTTGCTAAATATTGGACTGCAAGGCACAATAGTGAATGTAAATCCATTTTCAAATGCTCCCACACTATTAAAATATTCTCTAAATATGGATTTTATTTCGGTAGTCCATCGAAAATGAGCGGTAGTGAACATGTAAATTCCAAACGTACATGTAGAGATTTCTGTAAGGCATTAGCAACGGTTCTCAACGATGTCGAAGCAGATGAAGCGCCGCTTGCAAAATTAATTTATCGTACCATTCCAGAATTCCTATGGCAGATACGTCTCCCATTCACATACCTCTTACTAGCCCTCTGGTCGCTGTCGCTCCTGTACCTGCTGCACATCGCCGTCGTCCGCCTCGACGTGCTGAGGATACGCTCACACCTGAGATCGCCCTCAAGCCACCGCATCGCCGCGCAGTCCCTCCTCGCCGCCGCACGCGTCAAGGCACTCGCCAACGTCAAGTACTTCTCACCATAATCGTGCCTTCACGTGTGATCTGTGTATCACCCACTCACTCACTCACTCACATACTCACCCACCCACTCACCCACCTACTCACCCACTCACTCAACCACTCAACCACTCAACCACTCAACCACTCAACCACTCACCTACTCACTCACCCACCTAATCACCCACTCAACCACCCACTCACATACTCACATACTCACCCACTCACCCACTCAACCACCCACCCAACCACTCACTCACCCACTCAACCACTCACCCACTCAACCACTCAACCACTCAACCACTCACCCACTCAACCACCCACTCACCCAACCACTCACATACTCACCCACCCACCCACTCACTCACCTCCCTCTTCACTGGTCGCTGTCGCTCCCTCTCCCTCCTCCTTCAATCACCTCCTCCGTCGGCGTCCTTCACCCAAATCTTCATTTTACACCTTCTCCCTCCACCTCCTAAATCGCCTTTCCTCAACCCATCTTCCTCCTTCGTCGCCCTCTTTCGCCCCTTCACCTCCCTCGCCTTGTCCACCCACCTCCCTCGCTGCCTCCCTCGCTGCCTCCCTCGCTGCCTCGCTGCCTCCTTGACCTAAAATCGCCTTTCCCCAAATTCCCCCAAATCGCCCTAAAAATGTCCTTAATAATCATCTTTTACTTTCTTCTACCCTCCCTTAATCAACCTTTAATCCCAGTATAATGGCCATTACTCCGAAGTACATGGCTCTGAATCTAAAAGAAAGAGTTGTGAGAAGGATCTTGCTGAACGGCGCATCTCTCTTGGTCAGCTTGCTGGACAACTTTCGGGATTTATTGGCGGTGGAGATGAAGTTAAAGATGCAATTGTAAAGGGTTTGCACAGTAATATAAATCAGCTTGTTAGGCTTTTAAATACGTCTTGCGGAGATAAGGGGTGTAATTGTAATATTATGAATTTCCGTGATGGACCTCTCAAAAATCTTCAAAATAAATTTAATGAAGTTGACGAAATTGAAACAAAAATTAATAACCTTCAAAAGCAAAAAGATGATAAAAGTAAGGCGCCTGGAGGGGCGCCGTTAGACAGTGAGTCTGAGATTGATGAGCTTGAAAGGGAAATTGAGCAAAATGAAGTGAGCCTTAAACAGCAAGAAAAGCATCGTGATGAGCAAATTACTGCGCTAAAAAATGCTTTAAATGATCCTAAAAGCAAAATTCAGAATACAATTCACAGCCTTACTGAAGATGTAAGACAGTGTGAAGAGAAAATCAAGCAGTATAAAGATGAGAAGAAAATGTTAAATAACAATGATAAAAATATCTCCATTCCCTCCCATCTTTCTAGTCAGCTTGAAACTGCGCAGGCTAAATTGCAGTCTCATAAGGCTTCGTTGGAGTCTATTGAGAGTCTTGGAAAGCTTTGTCAACATTGTAATGATCTTGACAGCAATAAAAGTAAAACTCCAAAAGATATTTTAGATAACCTCTGCACAGGCCTCGAAAAATTTCTCGGCTTCCAGAATGGTAATTACACTGGCGATGGCATCGTGTACTCGGACCTTGACAGGCTGTGCGACGGGGTGATGTCTTTCCTTCATGGAGTTCTTGAGAGTGTGAAGGATGATGAGAGTGTTAAAACTTACAATAATTACATTAAATCATCAAATAATAATGATGATTTACATAATGTCCTTCAGAATCTCCAATCTTCAATTGGCCACGGGCGTAATGGCCTTTCGAAGTCTGTCACCAAGGTGAAGGAGTGGTTGGGGAAATATAATGAGGAAGTTGAAAGGAAGACAAAAGCAGTGACTGAAGGATTATCTGCACTTATAGGTAAGTTACATGATGGGTCTCATGGTTCTGTAGGTGATTACTACAAGGAAGTGTCACGTAAAGCGGGACTAAAGCTTCAGCTACAATTGGATGCCTGGCAGTCCACGGTGCAGAAGGTGGAGCAAGAAACTGATCGCCTTGAAAACTATTATATTAATGTTTTAGATAGATCGCTTAACAATCAGATTATGCATGAATTCGTGCCTGTGAAAGGTGTGATTGAGCACATGAAAAGTCTTGCTGCGAATCCGTTGTTTAAAGATGGAACAATGTTGTTAGATAAGAGGTTAGAGGAACAGGAAGGTGAGATGAAGGTGAAGATTGAAAAAGAATCATTGGTACTTAAATTGAAATTAAAAAATGAGTTTGATAGGATATTAGCAGATATGAGAAATATGAATGATAAAAGGAAAGAGAAGTTCGGGCACCTTAGATATGCTGTGAAGGATGCCAAAAGGGAAATTGGCAAATTGCTGGCGAAATTCGACGAGGGTTATAAGAATGAAATTCTTCAAGCTATTGTTGGTTTAAAAGATGACATGACAGAAATCAACAAGCGTGACACAGAAAAATGCCCACTTGAGCATCAAGTTGATGCAATAATGGCGGCAGTTACGTCCGTTGGCACTGAACTGAACGCCCAAGTTGACGAGTTAAATAAGTGGATTGAGGGTGCGGAGGGAGTGCGGAGTGCGGCGCAGACTAAGGCTAGGACTGTGTTCGATGCTTTGAAAAAAGAAAATGTGTCGGGGAATTCTATTCGCATGAAACTGCGGTCAATCACCGGCGATAAAGACGAAATTGACAGCGTTAAAAGTATGATTGATGGTGATATTAAAAACTTGGAAAGGTGGAATCAGGAGGCTGGGAAGGTCGTGGATGATGCAAAAACGAAGTGTGAGACTATATTGCAGAAAGTTGTAGATAGTAAGTCTCCGAAAGGTCCTAAAACTCAGATTGGCATAAAAGCTAAAGCGTTAAAGGATAAAGCCGAAAAGCTGTTGAAAGCATATCAGGCCGCAGAGTCGAGCCTTAGTGACTTGGTTAGTAGCGCGCAACAGACGGTAACGACATTAGATGGTGATCTTAGAGCGGGACTGTTTCGCGCAAAAGAGGACGTTAAGAATAACATCACACAGTATGTTGACACCGTGGTTGCAGCAGTGACGAAGGGGGTGCCACTTGCGACAGGTAGTAGTTATTCATATGATTCATCGCCTGGTTTCACTGCCATGAAGTTACATTTGAAAGTAGATGAAGGCTTGGGCAAATTGCTTGAAGACGCCGGTAAACATATACCACAATTTCCGCTTAGAGCAGACCTTATTCTAAAAGCTATACAGGAATACCAAAAAAAGAATGCTATCGATGTAGATACAACTATCGGTCAAATTAAATCAAAACTTACGGAGAAGCTCAGGCAGCATTTTAAGGAAGAAAGTGGTAGCAAAGTCGTCCTTGACAAAGCTTCGCAATATTTTTCTAGATACGAAACAAACAAATCAGCGATTAATGATCAGTTCAATACTGTCGGCAGAGAGCTGCTAAACAAGTTTACCTCTGGTAACACGAAAGCCGTCAACGACACGAATACAGATATTCAAGAAGTGACTACATTAGAAACCGCAATTCATTCGCATCTCACAGCACTCACCGGGTTGGTGAGTGGCAATAGGACAAGTGCCATTGAAGGTAAAGCAATAAAATTCAAAGGCATCAAACCGCTTTTGGAAGAGCTTAAGAAGGGGCTTGGTAACGACATAGATGAATCATGGTTCTCCACGAAGAGCGGCCTCGCCAAAATCCAAAGTACACTCAATGATCTGAATGGCCAGCTACCCACACATACCAGACAAATCGGGGATGCCGTCCAAAACATTACTCAAGCACTGGATAAGCTTCAAAGAGATTTGCAGGATAGCCCAGACGGCGCATCAGCAACTGGAAACAGTGTCCTGGATAAGTTAAAAACACTTGAAGACGGGCTAAAGAATACCCCTTTGACTCCAGCAACGAAAGGTCTTCAACAAGTTAAGACAGACATCAGCAGTCTGCAGACCACCCATTTACTGGACAATGAAGGCAGTAGAATCAAACAAGCCATCAATAAGGTGATGGCGACAGTAAATACACTGGAACGTCTTCCCGGCAAAGTGGATGAGGCAAAGATAAATGTGTGGAAGTTGATGGAAAATCTGCGACAAGACATTGAGCTACTTCAAAGCCATATTAACAACATAGACAAGAACATCGACTATGCTGACGAGGCATTGACAAACGCAATGAAGGCCGTGTACAGCGCTGTTTTCTCAGCCCACAATACACTCAATATAAACGTAGACAAAATCCAAACTGCACTCCTTGAAAAAGCCGAAGACGCTTTTCATAAAGTCACTACAGAAATGCGAATGCTATTTGCAAATGCACGCCAGGCGGATTTGACGGCGTTAAAAGCCTTAGCTAACCGCCAATACAAAAAAGTCTACGACATTATAAATGCCGACATGGCAAATGGCGTTAAAGGTTTGCTGAGCAAGATGCATGAACAAAAAGGTATTCTAGAAGCTGTGCGAACTCATCAAGACTTCAAAGAATTGACGGAGAGACTACAATGGTATCTAGATCCAGTCACGGAGTACATTAAATATCAACTCCTTCCAGACACTAAGCCCAAGCCCCCAACTCCCTCCCTCCGTCCAGTCCCACCCCCAATCTCCGGCGGCGGCTACAGAGCGCGGCCGGCAACAAACATGCAGGCTGATCGTCAATCTCCAAACGTTCCGGGATCAGCGCACCGTGTCGGTATGCCACGCACAACTCCGCCCACAAACCATCAGCCTCAGCCTCCATCCCTCCCACCAGCCAGCCATCCCCCTCCCCGTCCACCAAGGATCCCATTGAGAAGTTCTTCGAGGACCTTGAACTGTATGCTCGAAGATTATTTTTGGCCCTTTCAGGTGGTTTCTTTAGTAAAACCTTTGCATCACAACGTGAAGAATTTGAGAAGTTTCTCGACTCCATGCGTCCTACAAAGTTCGCACAGCTCAACAGTCCCCTACTGGACGTCCTAAAATCCGGCCTTCAGGATTTCCTCGGGGAGATTGGCAAGGCGTACGTGAATACGTATGAAGGGCATCCGTCTCTAGTTGACTTTTTGCGGGAGGCTGATGGAAAGAATTGCGCTAAGACATTTTTGTCTTTACTGGAGACGCTGAACAATGATCTTGGCAGACTGAGGAAAAGATGCAAGAATAATTGGAAAGATTTTCCGGTTCATCTAGGCATCGCGACCATTAAAGACAAAAGAAAGGTTACAATATTGGAGACCGAAAATCCCCTTGGACCTTTCCTCAAGAAGTGCGGCTATGATGTTGCTAGTTCAGCCGACAAGCAAAATGGCCATTTACGGAATGAGAAGAAATTCACAGGTGAAGAGGTTTATAAGCTCGTCGCCGGTGACTCACTTAGTCATGTTTTCAGACAGCACGGGGAGGGACCGTTTGACTTCATGTACCACTGCCTCCAAGACTACTACGCTGTCGGACACTACGCCACTTCGTTCGCAACCAAGCCGCCGTGTTCCGTGTATGAAATGTTACTCTGGTGTGCCGGTCTCACCTATAACTCTGTTTATTCTGCGTTACTATCCAGCATTAGCGAAAAGCTTGAAACTCCATCTAATCCACTTGGCGCCGACGACGATGGCCTTATGGCATTCGACTTCGAAAGCTTTTACATAGATTCTTATCCTAACAAAGTCACGTATAAGCATTTCCAAGACGTGCTTACTAATATTGCTTCCATATCATCCTCCATCTTGACGACCGTTCTCGGCTTCGGCGACGAGCACACCATGTACGCCTGTGACTTCTATGATAACTCCATGAAATTGTATTACCCTAAAAGTGGAGCAGAGTGCTTAGATACGTTACTAGATATATTGCGTCGCATGTTCCCACCACTTAGATTTTTGTTTTTCCAGTGCAGAGTCGGTGAATCAGACTACGGCTGGGGGTACTGCCACTACGGCAAGGAGATAACCCAAGCAAAATGGCAGTGTACCAGGCACTCAACGTCTGAATCAAATTATAAACCAAAGTGTCAACCTAGGTGCCAGGCAAATGGTCAATCAAATTGCCAACCAACGTCTCCACTTCAGTCGTACCTCACCGACGGTCTCATCGGTTGCCTTCCTCACCAACTTAGCGGAATTGGCTGCAAACCAAAATGTACAACATGTCCTGGCAGCAAACCCGGAATGCCATGCTTAACACCTCTTGGCTTCAGAGGTTTCTCTGGGACCACGCGCAAGGGTGAGGACCTAAGCAACGTGCTGGGCTATCTCTTCGGTAACACGGCGGTTGCGTCGCTGTTTGCTCTTGCACCCAAAGCGCCACGCACATTGCCAGAACACTTTGGTTTTGCTTTATCGCTCGTTGCTGACTGGCACGCTGATTCATCAAACGCACGCAAACACTCAATACAGGATGCCTTTGAAAAGGCTATCAACGACCGTTCCATTAGTCTGTACGACGAGCCAGGCAAACTCACAGATGCACTTCGTGATGCCTACGGTAGCAGTCAGAGTAGTCACGATGCGACAAAATATCACACTAGCATTGTTAATATCCAAGCCGATGAAACGAAAAAAGGCAGCTTGTCAAGTCTCTGTATGGCCACCGCATGTTCCAATGCGCTGTGTGCCCCTTACATATACACCTTGTGCTCCGATTACTACAGTTACTTAGGCAAATCGCATTCCAAGCTGTACCTTTCCTGGGCAGTTTACTTGCCGTGGTCGTTATGGAGTTACCTCGAAAGCCTGTACAACGCTATCAAGGACATCTTCTGCCAGGACTGGGGATGCAGAGGATGTCTACGTGCTGAAACGTGCAGACGTGGAGAGCATGGCCTCACCAACGACAAAACAAAATCAGCAAATTGTCACTGTGAATCTATGGTCCAATGCAGAGGCATGATGCCGACGCTATATAAGTACGGTTTCACATTTGGTGCGCCAGCAGCGTTGAATAAGGAGAATGCGTCTAAGACATGTTCCAATTTCTGTGACCAGCTGCGCAATGTATTGCACTCGACATATTTTGATAAGCTGTTCAAGGAGTGCGACAATTTCTTATGGAAAATCAGGGAACCATTCTCCATCACATTATTAGCCCTCTGGTCCCTCTCGCTCCTGTACCTGCTGCACATCCTCGTCGTCCGCCTCGACGTCCTGAGGATACGCTCCCACTTAAAATCACCTTCAAGCCACCGCATCGCCGCGCAGTCCCTCCTCGCCGCCGCACGCGTCAAGGCACTCGCCAACGTCAAGTACTTCTCACCATAATCGTGCCTTCACCCACTCAACCACCTAATCACCCAACCACCCAACCACCCACTCAACCACCCACCCACTCAACCACATACTCACACACCCACTCACACACTCACCCACTCAACCACCCACCCACTCAACCACCCACATACTCACACACTCACCCACTCACTCAACTACTCACCCACTCAACCAACCACCCACTCACTCAACCACTCACTCAACCACCCACTCACTCAACCACTCACTCAACCACCCACCCACCTCCCTCTTCCACTGGTCGCTCCGCTCCCTCTCCCTCCTCCTTCAATCACCTCCTCCGTCGGCGTCCTTCACCCAAATCTTCATTTTACACCTTCTCCCTCCACC